GTTTTTTAAAGCTCGATATTTCCTGGAGATGGGGTTGGCTTCACCAGCTTGGCCGGTCGGATGCTGCAGGGCCTCAGACCTCCAGCTCCATCCAGTTTCTGCAGTTAATGGTTCAGGAGGTTCAGACCAGCCTGGGTTTGCTTTGAATCCCTGCGGAGGAAGTTACTGGTCTCGAAAACGTAGAGTAAATCCCTCTGAAAATGGGTTTTTTATTTACAGCAGCAGAGGCAGAAACCGCCCCTCCGCCCAGCGCCTGGGCTATATTTAGGTATGATGCACAGCGCCTGCATGGCCCCTTTATGCACTGGTGTTATAAATAAATAATAATACGATTTTTAAAAAGCGCAAGCAGCTCCTTTTAATAAGTAGAACCCCGAGAAGGAGTGCACGGTTCAGATCTGTGCAGCAACGTGGCAGGAAAGAAAAAAACCTGCAGCTTTCAACCGGTGAATGATGCTGGTGGCATCGCCTGCAGTGGCCCGGTGGCACCCCTGGTGTCACCCCCCCAGCCTCGGCCACCGCGGCAGTCCTGCCTGGCTCCCCACCTCCCTGCCTCAGTTTCTCTACCCGTAAGAAGATAATTGCCTCCGTTATTAATCCCTTTGAGATCTCCTGATGAAAGCTTTGGGTAAGAGGTTGGCCTTCATTATTAAGTGCTTGCTGTGATTATAGCAGGGATTAATTTGGCGAGGTGGCTTATTTAGGTTTGCCTTTAACTGCCCAACTTGTAATCAAAGTGTTGCAAAGCCAGCGAGTTAATGCTGACCTGTAGCACTTCACTTCCTGACTTCTCGATATGCCATTAACCGGAACTTGGCTTTTAATTAAAGCCCGTTTTCGTAGGCGTCCAAGAAACAGCAATGTGCTTGGCCCTGTGCTGCTGATTCACTGGAGGGTGTAACGAAGGAGGAGGCGCGGAGCTCGGGTCGTTCAGCTTTGTGACTTTGCCATCCCCAGCTCTCTCTGCATCCCGCATACGGCCCCATCGCGAGGACGCTTCCCTTTTTTATTTTTGCAAGCTGTTGTATGGTTAAATAAATATCCCCCAGTTCCCCCCATGCTGCAGCCGGCGAAAATCAGATTTTCTCTCCTTTGTTTTAGCCAAAGGTGTTTTCAATCTCTCGCTCAATATATTGTTTGCAATATATTATATATACAACATATTGCAATATATGTATGCTGCAAAGAAATATGCACGCATATATATATATTTACTTTTTTTTTTTTATATGCACTTAAAAGATTTCCCTCCAGCCAGCCCTCGGGACTCCTGTAGGGCTTCCCTGGTTCGAGACTTTTTCTTCCTACTGTCTCCAGGTTTATCTGTTGTCAGCAAACTTATTTCTTCTGTCCTGAGTGCTGCTGGCCAGCAAGCTCCCTCCCATGCCCTCCGTGTTTCACGGTCCTCTCCCCGTATTTTCTCGCTCTGTGAGGACGCACAGACCCCGTGGACCCAGTCGGAGACCTCAGGGCAATGGGGCATCGGGCCTGCTCAAATTCCCCACTGCTCCATCTCTGCCATCGTGGCAGGTTCCATTTTTATAGACGTGGAGCAAGTCAGTAGCTTTCCCCCCCACACACACCTCACGGCGCAGAGGGGGTCCCGTCCGGCCCTGGGGAAATCCTCCCCTCTGTAAGGTGCCTGCAGTACCAACCCCCTTCGCTCCGGGCAGCTCGTGCCCCCGGTCCCGGGGGGGTGGTGGGTGCCCCAGGAGGGACATCTGCCCGCCCTGAAATGCCTTGGCCACGGAGAGAGCAACAGGGAGGCTTTTGTTCTGCACCAGAAAACTTTTCATCCTTCTTTACGGCTCCTTTTTTATTTCTTTTGGCTGCGCTCTCACAAATCTGAAGCAGATTAAAATACAGTTCCTCCCCCCTCCACTCCCCTAAAAAAAAAGAAAAAGCCAACCCCAAAGCTTGGCTGCTTAAAATCATCAGATTTCAGTGAAGTCTTTTAAAGTTAACAGTTTCCTGGATCCTGTGCAGGCTAACTTATATTTTTTTTCCCTCTAACCTCTTGTGTTTTTTACTGAAACATTTCTCAGCTGTTGGAGCAGGAAGGAGGGAGGACCAGGGTATCTCCGATGCGGAGAAGGTTATTTCACACGGGGGGTTGGATGAAGCTGGTATGGGACTCGCTGGGCTGGCACCGTAGGGGACCGAAGGGCTGTCCCCGGGAGGCTCAGCCCCCACGGTATGGCCAGCAGGTAGGTCACGGCTACATCAGTGACATCATTTTGGGGCAAAATAGTAGGGAAGTGGTACTGTTGGAAGAAGGGAGTAGGATGCTGCGGGTGGGCTGAAGCTCCGTTTCTACTGGCCGTTTGTTTGCTGGGGGCTGTGGTCACGGGGACTGGTGGAAGAGCTGCAGGGTTCTTCTGGCCGTGACCACAAGGAGCTTTTCTGTCTTCATGACCCTAAATCCAGCCGGGGTCCTCCTTACCCGCCGTCTCTGCTTTGGTGCTCGGCCCGCTGTGGCACCTCCTGGTATGAGAGCTGAACCGAAGCCCCCAGCTCTGGTAAGAGCAACATCAAAAGTTAAAGGAGTTGTAAAGGAAAGAAAAATAATAGTCTGGTGCTGGTTGGTTTTGTCGCCTCCTCTCCGAGAGTGGTCTCTCCTTCCCCGTAAAAAAATCACCTAAAGCTTTCCCAGATGGAGGGTGTTTGATTTTTTTTTTTTTTCTTGGGCGGTTGAGGAGCTGGAGTCAGCCAACCTTGGCCAACACCAGTGACCATCACCACACGCTGGAGGGCAAGCGGGGACAGCCAGAGCCTCGTCCTCCAACCGAAACATCCTCAGTCGCGTGAGCGTGACCAAGGGGGAGAGCCCTTGAACCGTCTAAAATCCCTTTGACCCAGCAAACGGCGCGGAGGTGGAAACCAAACCCAACCCTACGCAGCGACACTGAGCTGCGCGTTAACTCTGCCGGAGCCGGGAACAAAGGTCTGGGGGGCTGGTTTGGGCTTCTTAAAATTTATTTGCAAAGCAAAATAGCTCGGCTGAGCGGAGCGAGCACTGGTGGAGGAGCGCGAGCTGCTGGGTCATCGCTGTGCTATAAAACCCCCTCCCCACCAGCGCTCGCAGTGGGGCGTGCTGGCTCCCCGAGCTCTCGCAGCGTTTCCACGTTGGCCGGGAGCAGTTTCTGAACATGCGTGTTGGTCTCTCCGGAGGCTTTAATCAAATCCAGGCTTTACCAGAAATTGCCTCGAAACTTCCGACTGAGCCGAGGAAACTGAAAGCAGCCGGAGCGAGGAGGCTCTCGGCGGAGATGCTGCTTTCGGCGAGGAGGGCGCGGGTGGGGGGCTAGAGCCGGCGAAGCAGCCGGGATGAAAGGTGAGTCTGCTCCCTGCCTGGCAGCTGGGGAGCACGCAGCGTACACATGAGCAATGCCTTTGTGGTGGGAGGATGGAGGAGAGCCCGGGGGTTCAGCAAAAAAAAAAGGGGCCTGAAGGGGGAAAAGAAATGCAGGAGCGAGGATGCCGCTTGGAGGAAGCGGGACGTTCAGAGGATGCTTTGATTTCTGGAGCATCCGCTCCCTGGCACGTTCGGGTTCAGGTCCTGCGCTTTCCCCACCGTCTTCTCACCCCGTGCAAAAATTGGGAGCTGTGCAATTAATGCGCCCTTGAAAACTCCCCCACTCCAGGGGAGGGTTTTGTTATCCCTCGGAAGTTTCGTTTGGGAATCGGGGTTCAGACTGCAGGTACTTTCCTTGCTTGTTGTGAAACTGAATTGCACACTGCGTCCAGCCCTCTCCCGTGGGCAGAAAGGAAAGCAAGGCGTATTTTTTAACTTCCTTTTCTAACCTGGGTGGGGGTGAACTTTATGCCTGGCCAGGGACGGTCGTGATCATTCAAGGGTGAACGTCTCAGAATGATTGCAGTAGAGAGGAAGAGGAAATAATAAATACGTGATTCCCAGTTAAGGGTTTTGAGTATTAAGGTGTGTTAGAGCAGCAAGGGGGGGTTTTACGGTGATACAGAGACCTGCGTCCGGTTTTGTGCCTGACTCCTGAAAAACACCCTGTTAAGGTTATCGTAAAATATGAGTGTCCAGTGCAATGAACCGTAACATGAAAATCACGGGAGAGATGATGAGCTGAAGTCGTCGTTATCCCAGGCAGCTGCTCGTGGTTTCATCCGGGCTCTCTGAGGGGAGGGAGGTTTTGGTCACGCGTCCGAGGTGTGTTACGTCGACAGCCAAAACCGTTGCATCTTCCCCTGGGCTGCTGCTCGCCGATGCTTCGGGGGTTTGCTGCGGGGAAGGAGCCTGGGGTTGGACTGAGGAATGACACGGCAACCTGCAAAAATGCCCTTAAACCACCAAACCCGGACCTCGCGTGGAAAAACCAAAGCAAGCCTCTTTAATGGCCCCTGTATTTTCTCGGCGGCGCTGCCATGTGGCATGGGAACGTCCCTGTCCTCTCTTTTCTGCCGGGGGTGTGCCAGCAGCGTGTTGAACCCGCGTCAGTTCGTGTGCACGCTCGGTTATTTTGGAGGGGGGGAGTGGTTTGGCAAAATGAGGAATCTATCTTAGAAACTGCAGGAGGGGAAGGGGAAAAAAAAAAAAACCAAACCACCACGTCCTTGCTTACAAGGCTTTCTGGCTGCTTTTAGTGTTTTGGCTTAATTAATGAGGGGTTTAGGGATCACTGGCTGCAGCCGAGGCCGCTTGGATGCAAATCCCTGCCACCCATCTGATGCAGCCTTTAACTTAAAGGGTGATGATGTGTGTAAGGAAGAGGGGAAAATAGCTGGAGGAGAAGCTCACAGTGGGAGAAGAAAAATCCCAGCCCTGCTTTGTTTTCAGGGTTACCAAGCTGGGGGCTCGGTTTTGGGCAAAGATGCCCTCACCCCGGGGGGGTGAGGAGCACGGAGGCAGCGCTGCTGGCTGCCCTCTCCTTCCTCCCTCAGCTGCCTTTGGAGGGCCCACTGGTCTCCGAAGGGCATCCCGTGCTGCTGAAGGAGCCTCACGCCCGTGTGTTTTCTCCCTGTCTCCGCAGCCTACCCATGAGCTCGGATTTCCAGCATTACAGTTTCAGGATGCCGAACATCGGGTTCCAAAACCTGCCTCTCAACATATACATCGTGGTTTTCGGCACGGCCATCTTCGTCTTCATCCTCAGTTTGCTCTTCTGTTGCTACTTGATCAGGTAAGGGAATTTTCCCCAGCTGCTTTCAAGAGCTGCCCCAGTTCAGACCAAGCCTGCCACCGATCCCTCCAACCCAAAAAGAGGATGGCATCACCTCGTCTTCCCGCAACGCGTCTCTTGCCATCCTGACGTGACCCCTGAAGTGGTTTAACTTTCCCTCATCGTCAAAAAATTCGCTCAGCCGTGTCAGGTTGGACCCAACGTTCACCCCTAATAAAGCCAATAGACCCAGCGCGTACGCAGTGAGGACTGGACACTGTCTGCCCAACACATCTTGGAGCTACCAGTCCTGCAAGACAATTACGTTATCCGCTTTAAAAACAGGAGATGCATTTATATATGTATGCTCAAACGGGCACGAAAACATGGTTGGCTCCTCAGAAAGACTGGAAGGGGATGTTTTATGGTTCCTGCTTTCTGCTTAATGTTTCAACACGTTTTCCTCTTTAATGAGTAACTTGTGTACTGCGTGCTTAAGAAATGTTTAATACCTGCTCTGTTCGTTATTGTACACAAATTGCTCATTCAACAGCACAGTTTAGAGATTAATGATGCAGAGTTGATTTGTTAATCTGAACGATGGGGAGCAGGGCGGGAGGGTTAAAGGTTGTTCCAGTTTGAGGCTTGTTTTAATTATTTTATGGGCCACTGGGGAGAGAGTTGGGCCACTAATTGAGGGGAGAAGCTTCCTGCTGGAGGGAAAGCGAGAGGCAAGGGGGGGAAAAACGTGGTGCCTGGGAATCGAGGTGGTGGTGACGGGGGCAAGTCGTGCTGATAACCCGGAGCGCGGGGCTGGCTGCGCCTCTCCACGTGGCTGGGAGCAAAGGGCATCGCTCTGCCGAAATCCTGTGTGCCCAGAGCTCTCCTGACAAGTTGCAGAGGAGCTTTTCCATCCCCCCTTTCCCTCCCCTCGGGCTTTTTGGATGGCTCCAGCTCCCTGCACATCCATCACATCCCTCCCTCTGTCCCCACAAAACAGGCACCTGGTCTCTTCTCGCACCACGGAGGCTGCGTCTGGCTGGCTCACAGCAGCCAGCCCCACCAGGCTGTCTATGCAGAGGGTGCTGAAAACGTTTTGTCCTGCTTTCGTAAATCAGGGAAGCAAGATTTGAGTGCCACCTTCTAAATATTTGATAATCTCCACCTATTTTCAACCCTATATGAAGCAAAGCCTCATGAAACTTGCAGGTGAGCCCAAACTCAGGCTTACTCAGGGGTGATTCGGGCTGCCTGGGCATCACATCTTCAATTTTGCCCTCAATTATGCACCAGAAAACGTTCTCTGAAGGCGCAACACATCTGTCCACCCGGGCAGACATGGCACAAACAGATGGAGGGGTCATCCCCGAGCAGGTGATTTGCATCTCTGTGCTCGAATTTAACAAGGTCTGTGCTGGGATATTGGGTCTGTGTCCAGTGTCCGCACTTTTCCTGGGATGCCAGTGGGAAGGGACGCAAAAAACCTCGACAAATGGTCTTCAGAAGGCTCAAGGATGGGTTTTGCCCAGATTGAGCTTGAATCTATATGGCTGACTTGCAAAATGAAGAGGTGTTTGGACTCTCAGAATATTTTCCTGGGCACCAGGTCTTGCTGGGTGTGTTCTGCCCCAAAGAAGAAATAACAAGTAGTAATGTCTGGAAGATCAAGCCAGAAAATCTTTAAATTTAGAAGTTGGAGGGATGTTGTAAGAGAGAGGGTGAGTAACTGGTGAAACAAGCCAGCAAGGGAAGTGTCAAGTCTTCTGTCTCTTCATGTCTTTCAATCAAAACAGAGGACCTTTCTGGATGAGACGTTTTGGCTCCCATTCCCAGGAGTAACGAAGTGCTATTTAACGACCTGTGATGGATGGGAGGTTGGATTAGATCATCTAACGATCCCGTTATAGCCCTAAACTCAATAGAAACTCTATGAACCGCTCTTCAAACCGCCGCCCCCAGCTCTATTATTGGCAAAACAAGAATCCCCCAGCCCTTGTTTTGGAGGGTTTCACCACGCCACAGCTTTTAGGCAGTGCCAGGGTGCCCCGGGAGCCATCCACCTCCTTTGAAATTTGCTGTGTGATCTCAGTTTATGTGGGCTAGGAAAGCTTGAGCTTCGGCGTGGTTCGGAAAGCCTTGTAGACGGACAGGGGGGACGAGGAGCCCGTGCCTGCAGGTGCAGAGCATCCCGAGGGATGGCTCTGGGAAGGCTCTGCCACGCTGCTCCCCTTCAGTGCCATTTAACACCGAAGCATTGCCGGTGCCTGGCTGCAAATACCCGTAGCCCTGCGGCAGGAAGATTTGGTAGACAAAGTAAAATACTGAATTTAAATTGAATTTTTCCCCCCCCCTCCTGAACCAGGCGCTAAAGCCCGGCTTGCCCCATGCATCCCTGACCCTTTTTGCCAAGAGATGCGTGGCTTTAATGCAGAATTACCTCTGGAGGCTGGATAAAAGAGAGGTGTTAATTCAACAGGCGGATGCAGCGTGGATCGAAGCGTGTCATCGCAGAAAAACCAACCCAGGGCAGGGGGGGGGCACGGCGAGGGACAGCCCCCTGGGGAGCTTCAGGGAGTGCCAGTTTTAATCGGGTTGGCTCAAAACGGAGTCGGATAGGAATTTCAGCCAAAAGCAAAGCAAAGATCATCGCTGTCTGCGCGCGGTCCGGGCGAAGCTCGAGCCCTTCTGCCGCTGCAAACCACTCTGGTACAAAGCACCAGTCCCACCCCTGCAGCTGCTGCCTCTGCTTGGAAAAATTTTTTTAAAAAAAAAAAAAGGCAGTGAAATTTTGCAGGCAGCTGTTTTGTGCCTGAGCTCTGCTGAATTAATGAAAGCAATAAACTCGACGTCGCCTTCGGCCCCGTAGAACCCAATCCAGAAGGATGCCGAGCCGAGCGGCGCCGTGCTTCCCACGCGCTCGAGTGGTGTGCACGCTCACCCTGGGCCAACGCTGCCCCATCCCCTCCTCCCGAGCCGGCTCCACGGGGCTCGTCTCTGCCCAGGCTAAAGCAGCTCAAAGTCTGGGAGAGGCACAGGGTACGTAGCCCTTAAAAAGCCCTTTTTTATAGAGCTGTTTTTTTTTTTTTTTTTTTTTTTTTCCTGCATTCAAACCTGCCAGGATCCCACGCGGCGGTTGGGTTTGGAGAGCCCAAGGAGCCCGGCCGGGCTGCGGCGAGCGATGCAGGGATGGGGCGAAGAGCCAGCGCCCGGTGCTTTTCCAGGCTTTCTGCTGTAAAGCATCAAATAAGCAGATCTTGGAGGGAAACCTGCAAAAAGTCCTTTCCTCTGCTTTTTATTCCCCCCCTAGTCGCTCGCTTGCTCTGGGTGATTCGGAGGCACCCAGAGAAACGGGGGGGTGCTCCCTTTCCCGCCCCGGCGTGCGCGCACGCACCGTCTCCAGCCAGACCCTGGCGCTTTCAAGCCGCCGTGTGGTCCTTTATCTAAACCGGCCATCTGCCAGAAATTCCTCCGGAGTCACAGCTTTTGACACGAGACGGATGAAGCCCTCCCCGGGTCCGACGGGGAATAACGCTTGCCAGGATCCGGGGTCTCCTTACAGCAGCTGCGTTAGGTCCGACCGGGATCCAGCTGGCCCAGGATCCTGGCTCTGGAAGGGGAGCGTGGAGGAGCAGGGCGAGCTCGCACACTTCAAGACCAGATGTGCTCGTGCCGTTCCCTATAACCTTCAAGGAAATTTGCTTGGGGTTTGGGTTTTTTTTTTTTTTGGGGGGGGGGGAGTGGTGGGGGCAGGCAAAATCTCCCCGTATAGCTCAGCACCAGCCCGTGGCATTGTAGCATCCGCGCTCTGACAGCACGGAGCCGTGGCCCGGTGGTCACTTCTTCCCCATCCAGATGCCTCCGCGGGTGCTTGGGCTCGTTCTGCACGACCCCCCCCCTTTCCCTCCGGTGCCTTTGGCTCATCGGGGCCAGAGCCTCGGCGGCCGCTCCGTGCTTCGTAAAAGATGCTTTTTCCCATTTTTTTTTCCCCCTTGTCCGTGGTCTCCAGCCGCGCAGCTTGCTTTGCCCCATCTGTATTTCATAACCGGGTTCCCAGCCGCCCGGATCCCTGCAGATTGGGCCGGTTTCATCCTGTTCTCTCTATTGTTCGTGCGTCTTCTGCTCCTGTTTCTGCTCGGGGTCGGTGACGGAGGGATGCGACCCCCAGCCTTCCCCTTCCTGCCTGCCGCAGTTTTATCCGTGGCTCCGCAGGCAGGTTCCCCGCCAGGCAGCATCGTGAGGAGAGGAGGGAAGCCTCCCCACTAAATTCAGGGCTCGGGAGCTGACTTACTTCAACTCTCCCTGCAGCATTGCGTATTTTTACCCATTCCTTGACTTTTAAGGCCCGTGACATTTGGAGAGCTGTTTTCGAGCAAAAAGGACAAGGATCTATTTTTACATCCAATTTTTCTAACTTACCCACTGCAGCCTTGCGGGACCAGAAGGTCTCTGAGAGCTTGGGGTGAAACAGCCAGGGTTTGAGACAGCTCCCTGAATATTTTTGGAGAAGTGAAATTACAGGCAAGGGGGTTTCCCGTCTGAAATCACACTCGAGGCTGGCTGGCAAAAATATCCCTAGCCCTGCAGATACACACTGAGATCTTCTTAAAAGTCCTTGGCGAACTCTTTAGCCTCGCTGGCTTCCCTCTTGAGTTTTCAGATCGCTAAATGCCTCGTCTTGTAAGGAGAAGCAATATTAGTTTGTGGTTTTTTTAAAAACATATTTATTTTTAGGAGCACGATTGGTTTCTCCAGCCAGCTGATGCCTGCAGAGCACTCTGCCAGGCTGTGGAAAATGGGCTGCTGTTCCTTCTGCCATGGAAAGATGTTCTGTTCATAATAGTTTGAAACTACGGCGGGCTGCGATGTGTGTTTGTGTTTGCTGTTTCGCTCGGGCCCCAGGAATGGGGTCAGATGATCCCACCGGTGTCTCCTGGAGAGGGGAGGCTGGAGAGGGGGGGACGGGACTGGCCCTTGTGGCCTCAAATTCCTGCTGCCACCAGCTGGACTTGCCCCTGGCGCAGGCGTTTTTGGAATAGCTTCATCCCCTCCATCTCCGTCCCTTGGTCTGCTCTAGGAGTAGGTGCTGTTGGGCAAAAAATAAAAAACACCCAAACCACACCCCCCCCCCCCCCCCCAAACTGTGCTGAGCACAGGGCTTCAAAAGGTGGGTGTGGGGGGGAAGCAGCTTGTGTGGTTTATAATCCTGATTTTACTCCACTGCTGGCCCTGGCTCCTGCCCCGGGGTGTCGTGTGGGCTTGTCACCCCGTGCTTTAACCCAGCGCACCCCGGTCTGCTCTCCTGATTAAAAATATAAAAAAAAAAAAAAAATGTTAAAAATCCCAAGTTGCAGGTTTGTTCGGTGGGTTTTGACAGCTCGTTATCTGTGGGTATTAAATCACCCCCTGTGATAGGAGGCGAGAGATGGAAGCTGTCCCGTCTCTTCTGTTCCAAAGCTTTCTGCTCCGGTGCCGTCTTCGGATAAACAGCCGTCCTTTGCCTGCTCAGCCGGACGGATGGCCTCTTGTTGAGTGCTTCTTCCTGAGAGTCTGGGAGGCAGGAGCAGCACGGTTGAGCTGATAATTGAAGATAAAGCTGTGTTCGAGGAACCCAGCACCGCCCAAGCAGCATGATGGGGGAAAGCTCCGAGTTGGAGAGGACATTCCCCATCCCTGCGGGAGCGGGAGCGGAGCTTTCCTCGGGTCTTGAATACCCATCGCTTGGAAAAAGGTGCCGTGGCCAGTCTAGAAACTGCGAGCAGCACAAGTGGTTGGAAACTGGGGGGGTATTTGGAGCAGCTCTGGGTTTACTCAACAGCTTTTGCTGGTCTTAACAGCGCCGGTGATGTCCGCGTGGAAAATTAGGGAGGTCAGAAAAGGAAAAGGGGGGAGGGGGTTGTGCGCTTCTGGGTGGAGACGTTGCCTTCCCAGCTACAGGGGAAGCTGGCTGTTGGTTAAACGCGTCGTTTCACGTGGCCGTTCTTGTTCCTGAAATGAAAAATGTAAAAAAAAAAAACAAAAAAAACCCAAACTGGAAAGAAATGAAATGTTTGAGGTATTACAGTAATCCTGATTTTTTTTTTTTTTTTGCCTGTCTTCACGTTTCTCCCTGTTTCGATTGCAGGCTCAGACATCAAGCACACAAAGAGCTTTACGCCTACAAACAGGTGAGATGATGCACATCAAGTTGCCACCTTCTCCCCTTCTGCTTAGCACTAAATCCACGTCGGAGGAGCCCACTCCCTTGGGCTTCCTTGTGCTGCTCGTCTCCTTGGGGAAGCTTTTAGTCTTCGAAGAGAAGTTGTAACGCCTGGGCAAACCTCTGTCCCCACTGTTTTAATTTTTTCCTACCAGCCGGGCACCCCAGGAGCATCTCTCACCCGTTAGTCTGCAGGTCTGTGCGTTTTCAGGCGAGGTCCCCGAGCGGTGGGGACACCTCCGCCCCCCGGAGCACCTCAACTGAGCAACTCCTCCAAAATTCCCGCTGGTGAGCAGTGAGGCCGTCGCTTCCCCAGCAATCAAACGATGTTTTGCGGGGTCCAAAACCGCTCCCCGGATTGGACCCGGCTGCTCCGGCCCACCCGCAGCCCCGGGGCTCTCGCAGGGACCACTCGTAGGGGCCACACCACGTCACCCTGGCAAAGCCAGCACCCACAGGCGCCAGCGCCCGCGTTAAAATAAACACAGCCAAGAGGTTGGTGTCAGGTTGCTGCTTCGGCGTCCCGTTTTCTCTGGGGCTTGTGTAATTTTTCTGCCTCCGATCGGAGGGGGACGACAGTTGGGCGGAGTTGAGGTGGTAACGCTGCAAGAACCCCGTGGCGGCCCTGGATTTGTGGCCCTCTCCAGGTGTTCGGCCTGGGCGGAGGGAAAACGAAGCGGCAAGACGTCAGCGCAGGAGCCGGCTGGGCAGCGTGGGAGCCCAGGCAGTTGAAATTCAGGAGGGGAGACCCTCCTGGATTTGGACCTCGTGTTGGTGGTTAGAGCTGGGCCAGCGCTACCTCCTGGGGTCCGCACGGGGGTGAAGACTCGACGCGCTTCGTGGCTGTGCTGGGTTTACTCGGGGGGGGGGGGGGGGGTGTCTCCAGTTCTAACTGGCGTCAGCTGTTGACGGGGATTTTTGCTGCACCCGCTCCCGGCAGAAACTGTGTCCTGACCCCAGCGCTCTGTCTTACAGGTTATACTCAAGGAAAAGGTGAAGGAGCTGAACCTACACGAGGTGAGTACGTCCCTGGGACTTCGTGTAGCAGCGAAGGCTCCCTCACCCTCCTCTTCCTCGCGCTGGGGAGGGGACGGGGGACAGGCAAAGGCTGGCACTGGCAGGAGGGTGCAAAAACTCCCAGTTTAACTCCTTCAGGAGCAAAAGACACAGCTAGGTGTGCCCGCAGCACCCCAGCAGCGGGGGGGTCACCCTGCAGCCTCTTCCCCCCCACCCCATCCCCGTCCCAGGGCACGTGGTGGGGGCAGGTTAACGGCGGCGCCGGCAGCTCCACCTCTCCCCGGCGCTGCTTTTCTTTTCCAGAGATCCTAATTGCTCGTTAACGCAGCTGGTAAAAAGCACATCTGCAAAAGGGGGTCTGGATTAAACCACCTCCCTCCTCCTCCTGGCTCCCTTTTAGATTTTACTGCGCTATTATTATTTACTGCGTTATTATTATTATTATTATTTAGCGCATAATGATTTTTATTATTTACTGCATTATTATTATCACCGCGATAAAAAGCTGCGGGTAAAAGGGGAGGCAGAGGCAGGCCGGGCTGTGTATAACCAGTGTCCCCTGATGGTTACATCCCCTCCTGCTCAGCCTCGCCACCGTCGGAGCGTGACGATACCCAGCACATCTCTGCCGGCCGCGTCACCCGGGCGGAGCAAACTCCGCTGGGATTTAATTGAAATCAAAGCTAAACACGCTCCCCAGGCTTCTGCCCCTCACGCTCCTGCTGTGCAGCTTTGCCCAGAAGAGCTGCAGGCAAAGGGGGGGGGGGGGTGGGAGTGGTGGGGGATCTGCTTGGACCTATTAAGAATTAAAACCCCTTTTTCCAGCCCCAAAAGCATGGAGGTTTCCTCTCGGATTCGGCAGGCGGGCAGAGCCCACGGCAGCCAGAAAGCAAAGCCACGGAGGACTTTGCATTTAAATTTTGCAGGGAGGGTTGTGCCAGCGCCTGCCCCGGCCCGACGCGGGCGCGGAAGCGGCTCCTTGCAGGGCCCCCTCTGCCCTAACGAGTTAGGAGGGGGCTGAAACAAGGCTCAGATTAACGACGTTACCCTAATCCACCTCCACCTATTTCCCCCCCCCTCCACCTTGAGGTTTAAAACACATTAGTTGTTCCCCGCAGGTTGCCAGGCTGGTTTGGGGCTCAGCGTCCTTATTTCCAGACCATTTTTTGTGCTGAAGTTGAGCAGGAATCTGCTCGAACGCTGCTTCAAACACAGGCTGGGTTTATTTCCCCGAACGACAACAAAAATGCCCACCCGCCTCCTGGACACAAGGCCGCTCGTCTGTTAAATACCAGCTTCATTTGTTTATAAGCTGCTTTTTTTCTTTTTTTTTTTTTTTTTTTTTTCATTCCCCGAGCAGAGCAACAAGAGCCCATCCCAGGTTTTTCATCCTCATCCTCTGCTCCCCGCAGCCGAGGGGCTAAATCCCAAGGGCAGGAGGGTGCCGCAGGGACGGAGCAGTCCCTGCTTGAGGCCCCAATTTCTGCTCCGCTCACATTAAATTGACTTGCAGTGGGTTTTTTTGGTTTTTTTTTTTGCCAGCACACAGACTGAAAAGCACGTCCCGGGGTGAGCAGCTCATTGCAGGAGGGGTTTGGGAGCGCGCCAGAGCCGGGAACAGCAGCGATAACCTTCCGTCCTCCTCCTCCGTCGCCCCTTCCCGGCTCCCCGTGGCTCTCCCAGACCAAAATCTTTTTCGGAGAGAGGGAAGGGGACAGAGCAGCAGCTCCAGCTCTTCCCTGGAGTTTGGGAAAGGCTGGGAAGGGTTTTCTTTGGCTCCCTCCAAAACATCCCTTTTTGGGCATTTGGGTTTTGGTATTTACAGTAAGCAGTTCTGGAAAGCGGAGCCCGGGGAGGGGATTTTGCAACATCCCAGGGCAGCTGCCAGGGCTCGCCCAGAGCCTTGCAGAGGGGAAAGTCCCCACCGAGCTCTTCAGCCCCGTGTTTCTGGCTTTTTTTTTTTTTTTTTTTTTTTTTTTTCCCCATCACGCCGCCTCTCCCTGGTTTTCACGGGGCTCAAGATGCGTGTGTGCTCCCCGGGGGGGGGGCGGGGGCCGGCCAGCGTTCGCTCCCCCAAGACACAAAGTCTCCCGACGAGCTTTGGGTGGCTGGAAAGTCTCAACAGGCTCGAAAGCCGGGAGCCTCCCTCATCCCGAGGGCTTTCAGCAGCTCCTTGCCGGAGCCTCCCAGGCCAGGGGAGCTGGAAAAAAACAGCTGGGAATAAATATCCCAAATCCCTGGGAATATCCAGAATGGGTCAGGAAGGGGGGGGGGGGGGGGGGAAAGGAGATTTCTGCTCGTCTCGTGCTTGCTGGGAAATCAGCCACCAACCTCCCCAGCCCTGGGACAGCGCTGCACCCTTTGCCTTTTCCTGTTCCCAGGGTTATCCCAGCTCGGTCCCAGGGGCCCAGCAGCAGCGCGGATCCATCCCCCCCCCCCTGCACCCTAAAGCCTCAGGGCAGGGAGACCCGAGCTTCAGCCCGGGCCCGCAAAGTCTGGGAAGGCTTTAGCAGGGATTTCATTCCTCTGCGATGCAGAAACGTCCCAAACGTTTTCTTCTGCAGCACCACGGGCAAAAAAAAAAAAAAAAAAAAAAAGCATCTTGTTCAAATTGGAAGGTTTAAAGCTGGAGTTTGCTTTCCATGTGGCATGGGGAGGTATTTCCTCATCCTCTTGCTGGCATCAGAAACCAAATTGCATTTTTTTTTTTTTTTTTTTTTTTTACCCCAGCCAAAGGCAGAGGTGAGAAGATAGAAACTGGCCAAAGGCATCGCTCAGGGGAAGGGGGATTTTTTGGCTGGTTTGGAGACCTCTGTGTATTTTGGGTGTTCCAACAAAAAAAAAAAAAAAAAAAATGCTTCCAGGCTGCTGCTGACCTCCTCGCTCTTCCTCCCGCTTCTTTCAGATCTGCGCCGTCTGCTTGGAGGAGTTCAAGCCCAAGGACGAGCTGGGGATCTGTCCCTGCAAACATGCCTTCCACAGAAAGTGAGTGCTGGGGCTACCCCCCCCCGCCCCCTCCTCACCCGGGGCTTCCCCCCACCCCAACTCCAGGGGAAGGAGGGAACCGCAGCAAAACACACACACCCCCCCCCCCCCAAAAAATTGGGTGAATTTGAGGGTTTGCAGCAGCAAAGGTCCAGTCTGGCAAAACTGCTTCACTTTATAGAGAGAGAGGCTATAGATTCAAAAACATGTATGTACGTCTGTGTGTGTGTGTGTGTGTGTGTACGTAGATATATACACATCTATAAAATGTATATATATTTATAAAAGAGATATTCAGAACCACTGCACCAGGCTCCCCAGGGCCGTTGGGAGTTCCAGAAGCGTTTGGACACGGTTCTTGGGGGGGCTGGGGGGGGGGGGGTTAACTTGCCCTGAGGAAAGTCAGGAGTTGGCCTGGGGAAAAAAAAAAAAAAAAAAAAAAAATCAGGAGTTGCCTTCCCACGCAGTCTGTGGTTCCGTGAACAAGGCATATGTAAAAATTTTAGATACATTGTATAAAAATGTAAAACTATGAATTTCAGATGTGATATACATTGTTTGGGTATGGCGTGTATGATGTTTATATACACTTTATAGATGTTCTAGTTATAAAATGCATATATTCGTATGTAACTCTTTGTGTATATATGTATTTTATACATTTTTGTGTATGCGTGTACATTTTTCTATCGACTTTATATATAAATTATGGGAAATACACACACACACAAAAATCCACAGTTGCCACTCACGCACACGCGAGCGCTCATGAAACAGAAAGGCACCTGTAGGGTCAAGTAAAAATCCAGCGGCAGCAAAGCTTCAGGGAGGGTGACAAGGGGTCTGTGTGTCCCCCCCCCCCGGGGGCTCAGGGGCAAATGTTTTTTTTTTTTGCAGCACCCTTGTAACAACAACCCCCCCCCCCCCCTCCTCTTCCCCAGGTGCCTCATCAAGTGGCTGGAGGTGCGGAAAGTCTGCCCGCTCTGCAACATGCCGGTGCTGCAGCTGGCGCAGCTGCACGGGAAGCAGGACCCCGGCCCCCCCCAGGGCCCCCTCCCCGGCGCCCAGAACATCGTATAGCTCCGTGTGTCCCCCCCCCCAGGGCCTGCCCCGCCGCCGGCCCCGGGGACAACCAAAGCACTACGGTGGAGGGAGGGCCGGGGACGAACGAGGACCGAGGTGGGGAGCCTGGAGCACTTTAAGGAGGGGAGGGGGGGGGGCATGTCCCCATCGAGCCCCTGCACCCCAAAAATCTGCCTCGGCGGAGCCGGGATGGGGGGGGTGGATCTCACACTTGAACCTGGGCTCAATTCCTCGCTGGGATTTGGGGGGGGGGGGGTGTGTTGTGTGTGGGGTGTCTTCCATGAGGCACCTGCACGACATCCTTCTTCCAGCGCGTCCCTTTGTGCGCTGGGACACCCAATATCCCCCCCCCCCCCCCCTTCCAAAAACACCCCTGGGGATTTCTCCTAGCCCTGCTGCCCCCCCCCCCCCGCCAGCGCTGTCAAAACTGACACCCACAAATGCATGGAGAGGGGGGGGACACACCCACCCACCCCCCCCCAGAGCATCACGGGGTCCTGCCCCGGCCTCTTCTTTATCGGGGTGACTTTTGCCTTTGCGATCCCTCCCCGGAAAAGCGGGGCCCGGCGGCACCCGCTGCTCCTCCAGAAGGGCTTAACCGGGGTGGGGAGTTGCGTGGGGGTGTCGGGGGTGCACATCATCCCCCCCCCCCCTCCATTCTCCCCCCTCCTCAGCACGCTGGGCTACCTCAGCGGGGCCGGTAGCCCCCCCCCCCCCCCACACCGAGAGGCACGAGCCACGCGAACCATCAGCTTCCTCCTCCCCAACGGCCTCGCTGGGGTATGGGGGGAGCCAGAGCTGAGGGGGGGGGCAGACAAAAATCCTGGCTTTTGGGTTCATCCCATCACTTTCTGCTTGACCTGGGGGGGGGGGGGGAAGGACACGTGAGCCGGCAGCATTTCGCCTTGCCAAAACACCCCAAAATCAACCATCGAGCGCAAAAGTTGGGGGGGGGGGGGGGGGGGAGCTGTGCCACCCCCTCACCTCTCTGACCACCTCACAGGGAGAATTTGGGCACCGTAGCAAACGCCCTGGTGTCCCCCTCCAGTTTTGCAACTCTTAGTCCCTTTTTTTTTTTTTTCCTTTTTTTTTTTTTTTTTGGGGGGGGGGGGGGGCAGGGTGTCAGTATTACTTTCCTGGCCCTGCCCCCCCCCCCCCCCCCCCCCGGGCACAGGATGGGGCGCGGGTGTCGTCCCCCTGCCCTGTAAATACCGTGCGACTCCCAAGACTGTTTATGGAGCGTGGAGCCTCATAGACGTGTTTGTACACTACAAATTCTGCAGCAGAATATTTTTTAAAACGTTGGCTGTTTTGGTTTTTGTTGTTGTTGTTGTTGGTTTGTTTTTTTTTCTTTGTTTTTTTTTTTTTTTTTTTTGTGGGTGGGGGGGGTTTTGTAAGCTATATTTTTGTATATTTAATTGCTATTTTAAAATTCTAATAATGCGTCTTTTTTGCTAATCACACTATTCTTAAGGAAAAACAAGGAGAAAAAAAAAAAAAAAAAAAAAGACCAAACAGTTTGCATGTGATTTGACTTGAAATGTAAATAAAAGCAGGTTTTGGAAGCAGGGGTGTGTTTGCAGCGGGGGGGGGGGGGAAGAGTTTGCAGCTCCTGGGGGTCCAGGGGTTGCTGAGCCCCGTGTCACCGTGGGGATGTCCCCAGTGGGGCTGGGACCCTGGAACAGGGGGGTCAGGGGAATCACCCCGGGGCTCCACCCACCGTGGAAAAGCCCCAGCCCGGGGAAGGATTATTTCACACACCCCGGACCTGCGTGGGGCTGCCCCACTCGGGGAGGGTTCTCCTCCAACCCACGCTGACATCACATCCCCCGAGCTCTGGAGGAGCTCAGCTGCGGGATCTCCCGGGATCCAGCTGAAAACCCCATCTCCCGTCCCCCCCCCCCGCCTCGCTTTACCCCTCTTCCTCCGGCCTTTAGGAAATCTGGGTGGAAAAAAAAAAAAAAAAAAATCCTTTTTCCTCTTCCCGCCCCACCGCTGCCTGGCCCCGCTGGGGTTGCCATCCCTGCAGGAACCTGGTGTGGAGGAAGCTGCTCCCACCTTGCTGTCCCCTGTCCTGCTGTCCCCTGTCCTGCTGTCCCCGGGGGGCTGCTGCCCTCTAGTGCTGGCTGCACCCCCAGAGCTGGGGGCAGGTCCCACCCGGAGATGTGCCGCTTCCCCCCTTCGCCAGAAGAAGGCAAGGCAAGGAGCCACCTCCTCGCCGCTCTCCTCCTCACCCTTCCCGCAGCTCCGCAGTCCCAGGCACGACGAAGTCACTGGGTGAAGATTCCCACGGGTGGGACAAGGGTCTGGCCGAGCCGGTCTGGATCCAGCACCGAGCTGCAGGAAAACACAATTATTTTTGTTACTTCCACCCCACCGCTGCGGGTCTGGGGGAGACGCTTCGCTTTCACCTCCCGGCCAGCCCACAGCATCCGTACGGTCAAGGCCAAAGGGCCTCCCTGCAAAAATAAACCCCGACCCAACCCCAGGCGTGGCCAAATCCACCTTCTCTCAGCAGCACGGACCCACACCAGCACCCGGGTTTTTGTCAAACCGGGGTTGGAAGGCTTTTTTTTTTTTAAGGTACCTGGTTAAAAACATTTCCAGCCTGGGGGGACAGAGCATGGAGAAGGGATCCTCCTACCAGCAACAGGCAACTACTGAATTCTTAATCGTTTTTTTTCCCCCCCCCCCTCCATCAACGTGCTTTGAAACGCAACTGATTTCCAGAGACCAGAACGCGCAGGGAGTAAAGAGTAATCAAGGATCACTACGTTTATTTTTAATCAACTGCTAAAAATCAACTGGAAGGTTCATTTACACCCATTTCACCAGGATGTTCCTGGTGCCCGTGCGGATCAACGCTCAGCCCTGTGCTCTGTAGCTACAACGAGCCAAGAAGCAAACAAGAGTTTCAAGTATATAAAAATAACTGTAATGTTTTATTACAAGAAAAAAACAAAACACACACACAACAATTTACAAAAAAAAAAAAAAAAACCAACACACACAATACATCAAGGACTTTGGTGCGGGATGTCAGACCACACAGGTTCTACTCAAAATCCACAGAAAAAAGGAGTTACACGCGCAAGTGGGCGGAACAAACACTGCAGGCCACCAGTGGCTCTTTGCCGAGGTTCCTCAGCTCTCCAGAGGTTCCCTCTGCGTAAGAAAATAATTTCCAGGTAGCTTCTTCCTTCTCGCAGTCTTTAGCTCCCAAAGGTTACTGCTATAAAAGAAAAAAAGAAAAAAACAAAACAAAAAAAAACAACCCAGCCCTTCTTCTGTGTATTACAAGGATTCAGAGGAGGGTTATACCCCCCCCTCACCGGCGTGGTCTGTAGAAAACCCCTGGGGACTATTTAAATGTGGTAAACCCACACTAGCACAGCGCATGGCAGCAGGGAGCTAAGCGGGTCCTGGGCACAAGGGCATTTCAAAAAGCCAAAGTGTTTTTCTGTTCTTTTTTCACGAGTCAAACCAGGGCCTGAGTATTGACTGTGAGGGGGGTGAGGTGGCTGAAACGGCAGCCGGGTACGTGCTGTTTATCACATTTCACAGGGTAGAGAAATGGTTAAGTCAAGCCTAGAAAACCTACAACCAGCAATTTGGAAGTGGAGTGGTTTTTAATACACCTACTTGGGATATCGTTTCTGAGATTTCACAAGAAACGAAGAATGAATGAGGTCTCAGATGCAATTTGCCCAGCGCAGCTGTGGGTGCCCCCTCCCTGGAAGGGTTCCAGGCCAGGTTGGACGGGGCTGGGAGCCCCCTGGGCTGGGGGCAGGGGGCGCTGCCCGGGGCAGGGGGGTGGCACTGGATGATATTTAAGGTCCCTTCCCACCCAAACTGGTCTGTGATTCTCTATTATCCTGCCCAAGCCCCTCACGTCTCACAGCACCAGGTTATATTGACTGCAGAGCGGGACACGGCCGACAGCACAGGCATCCTCTCCTGCAGGCAGCCAGGATTACCTTTCACCTGAACACTACTTTCTTTTTTCCCTTTTTTTTTTTTTTTTTTGTGGTTACTAAATCACTGGATGCATTCAGGAAGTTCCAGGCCCACGAGGAACTGGAAAATGTTTTATGCTGAGTCTGCCGCCTGGAACACTTCCCCACCGGAGCTGACAGAACAGGCTTTAAGGGGAATATCACACAGGATCTAAGCTAGCAAAGAGGACGTCTTCTGAATTTGTAGTTTCTTCCCTTTTTAGGAAGCAGCACGGCCAAGAGAACGCAAACACCTTTGTCACTAAAGATCTTCATCTCGTAACGCCAGATCCGAGCCCGGGGATGAATTTCTGCAAAGAGCAGGGCGAAGCAGAGACACGAGCAGGGACGCTCCGATCACAACCCGCCTGCACGCTGCTTTGGCTTTTGGGGCACTCCCAGCACCTCTGTCGTTTCCAGAGAGCGTTTGGAACGCGCGGTGTTACACCCACCCCGTCTTTAGGGGTTCCAAACTGCAGCCACCCGGTTCGAGGGCTGCGTGCGAGACGGCATGCACAGAGAAAACAGAGAGGAGTACAGCATGCACGTGGGAGGGAGAGGTTTCCCCCGGAAACTACAGCAGTTTAGCAACTGATAAACATAAAACCGAACATAACAGAGAAGAGCCCAAGTGCACGACTGAGAAAAAAAAATTCTCTCTTTGGTATAGTGATACACAGCCAAGTTTTGTAACAGAGCAAAAACACAAACCCACGCTGTTTCATCCTCAAATTTGCTTTTAGCAGATCTCGAGGTCAGAGGCTGACACGCTCCCAGCGCCGTGCCAGCACACACCAAAGGGCACCGTGGTCTGTCCAGAAGCTGGACAGGCTGAAATCGGAATCAGCCCGAGCCACAGGGCTTGTGCCTTACCTTGCGTCTCTAGCACACACAGGTAAGAAACGGTGGTAACAGGAATAAAGCCTCACTGGGAGCCCGAGGGTGTCTGAGAGGCCACTGCGTGGGCTCGGAGGAAACAGAAGTGGTCCCTGTGGTTTTCACGTGCCAGGGCTGCGACTGCTCTTTCCCCTTTACAGACCATTTAACAGCACAATGCAAGCGCGATGCCTTTCATTTGCGGAACGTAAAATGCTGCAGCTGAACTTTATAAACTGTGAACTGGGTAGGCATTCAGCACTCAAAAGGGATCTTCCTTTCCTCTTCTGACTAGGTCACCCACAATCGATTTAGCAGCCAGGGAACGGGTGTTTTAAAGCAAAACGTGAGCTCAGGGACCGACCCAGGAAGCGCCCCAGCTTTGTAGATCTGATGTACAGGAACTGCAGGGAGTCAGGCTGAATCCAGGAGTTCCAGAAGGGCACCAACTGCACCAAAATAACCCTGAAGAGCAGACAGGAATATCTATTAAAAACTTAAAACGCACCCATGACGCACACACCCGACACCCGAACAACAACGTTACACGCACGGTGTAATTTTAACAGCTTCTTAAGGACGGTGGAAAGAAGTAACTATAGGTAGGTACATTACAAAGCAGATTTTAAGGATAATCGCTGTGCTGGAAAGCAGAGCAGCACAGAATCATCTATACTGTCAATAGTCTTATAAGAAAGTTCACAAGCAAGATGAAATTGGTAATAAACAATTCTGACATGAGCTACAGGAACGGTACACGTGTTTTTTCTGACCCTCCACTGGGCACTGCAGTAACTGTGGCTGCTGCACACTGTGTGTCACAGCAGCTACAGGCTCCACACGGCTGTTGCCAGAGAATTCAAAGGATTTGCACTTTGCCACAAGACAAATTTAAAAAGAAATTTCACCTCATGTTCCAAAAAAAGTGCTTTTAACTGTCCCTTTGACCAGTAGTCCAAAGCGTATGCCAGAAGCCTCATCGAGATTGTATTGATCCGAAGGAAATTGCCAACGAACACCACTCGGTTAATGTTCTGCAAGTTTTAAGGGGGGGGGGAGGGAAAAAAAAAAAAAACAACATTATGGCTACATTCCATTTTCTGCTTGCAACGATGAAAACCCCACTTCTTTAGAGCAAGAAGAAAAAAGTTACATTTATAACGCCTCTTAAAAACACCCTATGCAGCTTTTCAAATACATTTTCCAGTGCGACTCGATGAAAAACACCCAGCTGAAAGCAGAGGGAAACCACCAGTCGACACTAAAGCAACCGGATCCAGAGAAACTGCACCGCCCCCGGGAGCTGCTGCTGCAAGCTGAGGGGCGTGACTGCCTCGGCGAGCGGGGACGGGAGCTGCAGAGGGAAGGGCTTTCATGCACTTGAGGTTTTCTGTATTTAGAATTATCAAACTGGATCCAGAAGAAACGATCCGCAAGCAAGAGAAAGCACAGAGCTGGCTTGGGGTCTGGCAGCAGCAAGAGATGGTTCAGAAGAGCAAGGTGAGATCAGAAAGGCTGCACTGAGATGGTCAGGAACTGCTCCGGGAGCGGTCAGAGGCCACGCCACAAGACCAAAAAAAGGAACTGTACTGGGCACTGGTGGGGCTGCACCTCAAATACTGGGTTCAGGTTTGGGCCCCTCACTCCAGGAAAGACCTTGAGGTGCTGGAGCGTGTCCAGAGAACAGAAACGGAGCTGGGGAAGGGTCTGGAGCACGAGTGCTGCGAGGAGCAGCTGAGGGAACTGGGGGGTTCAGCCTGGAGAAAAGGAGGCTGAGGGGAGACCTGGTGGCTCTCGACAGCTCCCTGGAAGGAGGTTGGAGCGAGGGGGGGTCGGTCTCTTCTCCCGAGTAACAAGCGATAGGACGAGAGGAAACGGCCTCAGGTTGCTCCAGGGGAGGTTTAGGTTGGATATTGGCAAAGATTTCTTCACCAAAAGGGATGCCAAGCACTGGAACAGGCTGCCCGGGGAAGTGGTGGAGTCACCACCCCTGGAGGTATTTAAAAAACATGCAGATGTGGTGCCTGGGGACACGGTTTAGTGGTGGCCTTGGCAGTGCTGGGTTAATGGTTGGGCTCGATCATCTTAAAGGTCTTTTCCCAGCTGAATGATTCTACAAATTAAGTGACTGATAAAAGTGTCAGGCAGGATCTGCAGAACGTTATAAACATCCACAATTCTGTCCGAGAGCAGTACCAGCCAGGTCATTTTAAGATGGGCTCTTTTTCAGCCTCTTTCACACTACCCTGAAATCCACAGGTCTAACTACAGCCTCTCTAGGAATCTAAAGAGAAGGGTTGATTTTGTTGCTATTAGATCCTTATAGTGGCTCAGAGCACCGATCATCAAGTGCCACCTTGATTTAGACACCCATAACCAATGCAATTCTGAAGGAAAGAAGACCAAGTGGTGATATTTTGTATTTATATCAGACTTCCAGCCAACCTTTTTGATCCCAAAGTAGTAGTTCTGAGCCAAGTGATGAACTCTGAAGCTTTCTTGCTCTCCAACGAGAAAATCATTTTCAGTTCCTCCTCTTACTGAGGAATCAGGATCAAGTCCTGTCTGGTCTTTCACTCACGTCCTCCTAGGGATTTTTCCTTCCGTCCCCACATTCATTAACGCTCTCCCCTGACTATTTATTCAGCATCTTCTTGGCGTTCAGCTGCGTGCTCTGGAGCGAGGACTCCCACCTGCCCTGGGAGCAGGACTGTTTACAACAAGTTGCAGCAGCAAGCGAAGGCAAACGGTGAGCATCTGTCACCAGCACCAGGAGGATGCTTCACCTCGTTAGCTCATCCCATGGGAACAGGCTCGGGACGGAGCGGCGGGCACGTCTCTGCTCTTTCATAGCCCTGTACAATGCTGCTTGACATGAATGCAACAAGGCAGCACTGTAAAGAAGCTGAAAGCGCAAAGATACAGGAAGGGCCGTGGCAGCGGCGGGGCCTGACCAAGAAATGGAGAGCAACTCGTAAAAACAACACCGGGAAGGTACCGAGCCCCTCCGCCCCACCTCTCCTCCGCTCTCAGCCGTCCCAGGAGCCGCCGTTCCCGTTCCTCAAACCGCCGCGGAGAAGCTGCCCGGCTCCTGCCCGAGCAGGGGACCCAGCGGGACCCACCGCCAGCTCCTCGACGACCTGGCTCACGCCACGCAGCCGAGCACGGGCCAAATCTCCTCGGAGTCCAAACCGAGCGGATGACACCTTCCTGAGCATCCCCGAAGACGAGCACGAACGCGCGCCTACGGAAGCGTGTGCGGGGAGAGAGACACCCTGTGAGAGCAGCACGCAAGGGATGCTTTAGATACGGAGCAATGGAACAGCTTTCCCCTTCGTACCTCGTTAAGCGCACACATCCGTGCTATGGAGCCGATGTTGTTAGTGATGGTTATTAAAGTGGCCTTCGCGAGGTCCTCTTTGCTGACAGATTCCCGCTTCTCCTTGCTCATCATGTTTCCAAAGCTGTAAAGACAGATTGGGGGTTAAAGGTCCGTTTGCATCAGCATTCCAGAAGGAAAGAGGGAACTGCTAATTTAACCAGTGTTACTCATCCCGAAGTAGTTCTTTCCAACTTTACAAAGCGTTGCTATCAGTAATTTAGATCTGGTGAAACAGAACAGCAGAAGGAATGGTAGCACTCCTACGAGACGTAAATCCTCTTTTTCATCCTTGCAGAATAATCTCCCGTAAAAATAAAAATCAGTCATCACCTGGATGCTACAGCCCAGCCGGGCAATCCGAACCGCTCGTAGTCTCCTCCGTAAATGTCCCGCACTAGTTTGTCCACTTTGGTACTGTCTCCATGGGATGCCATCTCTAGGGCCTCTTCAAAGGTGGAGCAACCAGTAAGAAGGCAGCAGAGACCAAAAAAGGTTCCCCCTCCAAGGCTGCAACATAAAATTAAAGTCACCCACCTCACTTCTAAAGAGGGAGAGAAAGAAAATGGCTCGTTGCACTGAAAGCTCGAACTGCTCAGCTACACATCTGAGTTAGCTCAGGTCGCCCCGTTCCTTCAGCTTCGCCTCTTTCCAGTGAGAGCAACCTTGGAAGAGCAGCAGTTTTCTTTAAATCTGTTACTTTCAAATAACTTAGAGCCTGTAAGGAATCCCACGTCCTCACAGCCTTCTGCAGAGGATGTGTTTCTACATGGGAAATTAATTTTCTTGTTTTACAATATCCACCTTCTTCCCAGCACTCAGAGAAGTCGATCTTAAAATAAATACTAGTCCTGAGGGGTTACCGGAGTACTCGAGCAGAGCTGTTCAAAACTTAGGGGAACAAAAAGCCCAACACCACTCTGTCCTGTTCACTTCACTGCGTACACATGCTGTTAATGATGCATAATAAGAGTAGCACCTGTGCTGTGAGGGGTTTTTTATTATTACTGCTAACTTGTAAGAAATTCAGGAAAGCTTAAAGCCACAGAGCTCTTTGGCTTTGCCTGGCGACAAGAGCCACATCTCCGTGAAGGGGAGCTGCAGCAGTCCAGCCACTGTCTGAGGAATTACTGCCGTGCCAGCATCCCTCCTCCAAAATAAGGGAACTTTTGAAAGTCGGGATGAAAATCTCTCCTCCTAGGGTCGACGCTAACGGTTGTTAACGTGATCGTTATATCTGGGATAATCCCAAACTACGGGATCTCTCTGATAGCAAATAAAACACTGATTCCTGAAGCAACTGAAAAAACAGCTTCTAAAGAGACTGGTTGCAGTAAAGAGACCAAAACATGACATTCAGATTCTCTCTTCCAGGAGGGATCTTTGCTGGAAGAGCTAAGGGACTGCAGTAAAAGCAGGAGCTCAGTCCTTCAACTCACCACCTTTATTGCAGCTTGTCCCTGAAAATGTCATTCACAACGCAGAAATGCATTCCAGACTCTAAAGGGAAACTCTGCTTACCCCCACACAGCACTCACCTGGTGCCCGTTACCCGTTTGTAGTTTTCTTTTGAATACACAGCCAAAATGCTGACCCCTGAGCCAATGTTCACCAAGAGGAGAGGATACGGATTCTCCAAGTTGAATGGGAGCTTCTGACATCTTTCAGCATCCGTCGGGTTTTCAAAATAGTAGCACTCTGAATGTCCATTGAATCCCACGGAATCAATGTACAAAACTCCTTTAATAAGGCAATCGAGTTCATCTAGCTTACAAAGCTCAAGGTCACCCATCTGGCGGAGAAAAAAAAAAAAAAAAAAAAGACAAAAACGAAAGAAGAATATTCAAGAAGCAGCTCGGGATCTGAACTGTTTATGCTCAGGGCTAGAAAAATGCATTCACTGCCAGCTAAATGCAGCTTCTCTCCAGTACTCCCTGCAGTGGCTAAGAAGTACAGATCACGGGAGGGCTCCAGGTTTCTCCGTGCACGGGGACCAACTACCCCAGCCCTGGAGTGTGCAGACATGAAAGAGAGGGGAAATGAACAACTGGATCCACAGATGGACCCCCAGAGAATCCCATCACCTTCCAAGGGCCTGACTTTGAGGGACTAGCCTGAAAAGCAAGGCCAAAGGAGAAGGGGCTCAACTGTTTCACAAAAAAATCCCCCCAAACCCATCCCCAAAACCGGCAAAAAATGGAGGAAGTTATGAAATGGCTTTCCCCTCATGTCACTGCCTTGACTGCACAAAAAGCCTCTTTATTTGGTGCATTTTTTCAAGCCCTGGTTAAACAAAGTATTTGTCACACATGTATTTCACCTACAAGCAAGAACTGAATTTATCATGAAGCCACATGATGATATCAAATCCCAATTCCTAACCTCCTTTCAGTTAATTTACCACCAAATTTGAGTCAACCTCAATCAGCTCACGCACACAGGTTAGAAATGAAACCACGTGAGCAAAGGAACGATAAAACAAATATCAAGCATGTGAAAGACAGCAATGAGAAAAAAAAAAAATAACATTGAGATTAGCATAATCAGAGATTAATAAAACAGAGGAAGTCTTGTAAGAGCACATGCCATGGAAGTTAGTGAATAATTGTAGAGTTACAGGAATGTTACAGGCACGTTTAGGAAAGAAAGCCTAATTTGGAGACGTGAACTTGACTCCACATGCTGTTTCCTGAATCAAGTTTCATTTGAGTTAGGTACACGCTTCCAAAGCTACGATTTAGAGAAGTTTTAGAGTCTGCAGAGAAAAGTTTTCTAGTCTTAAGCTTTAAGAAAATGTCACTACCAGATCCTAATCGTATAGAAGCGAAAAATGCATACTGTGCGAAAGTCCTGCTCAAATTTGTACGCTCCACCTCCCGTGGCACATAAGGTAGTATGGAGGCTTGAGAAGTGTTTTTCGCTTCCCATTTGAATAAAAGCAGGCATGTCATGAGTAGGAAAGCGTATAAAGTGCAGATTGCCTTTACGTCCACACAGGGTAAGGTCCTTTAGTTCAAGGTGCACGTCCCGAATGCCTGTAGATCCATAGGCTACATTTGATGTCAGGTATTTGCGGATGCTTTTGAGATTTTCCACTTCCTCCTCCTCCTCTTCAGCAGTGATGTCCTTTGGTTCAAAATAAACAAGTTTGACCAAGGTCCCTCCAATATCCAAGCCAAACCAAGGAAAGACTAAAGAGGGAAAAAAAGGAAAAAGGCAAAGAAACAGGGTATGATACTGTCAGACAACCAGCAAAACAGTTACGAACTGAATGAATTCGTGCAATTGTCTGGGGACTGCAAAATGCAGGCCCATTTATCTATTCATTTTCAAGCAGAAAACAAAGAAAGAAAAGTTAGCAGTCTGGTCTGTCTTTGACAAGCGTGGCTGGGACTCCTCTGTACGTGACACGACCCCTGTTTGAGAGACCTCGTGTTCAGGAGCTCCCAACCCTTGCTATGCAATCCTCAAAACACTCACACCACCACCACGAAGCAGCACGGAAGAGACGCACAGCGCAGGTCTGACAGTATCCGTACACCTGCTAGACACTGCTGCAGTTTTAATCCCCAGCTATTTCTTTTATAAAGTTCTGATCCAGAGTCAGAGCTAAGGATAATACCAATGCTTTTACATCAAAGGGATGTACAAACATTAACTAATTACAACACATAACTGAGGTAGACAAGTAATCTAAGATGCCCCAGGGAGACAAAAACAAATGTCTAATTGGATTATTTTATTAGGCAAATTCCCCCACGGTACGAAATATGCATTAGTGTCAGGCCCAGCAACATTTACAGCTGTATTAGATAATGAGCTTCTTGGAAAAGATCAAGAGAAAACCCTGATCAGATGGAATCTGCGATTAGAGCTGAGAACTGGAACAGATTAATATTACTATTAATGAGCTAAAGGATAGGCTAGAGCTAACAAGATACACGGGCTCCAGAGCAAAGAGAAAAACGTAGCCACATGTTATGGCTTATGGCAGCAGGATTAAACTCTGACTTTTTTTTTTCCAAAAGGAAAAAAGGAATGTTCAGAAAATAACTCTGAACGCAGCGTAGATGCTACTGACGTTCCCCTGGAAAGAAGGGTCTCAGGTTTCACTAAAATTCATACATGTCAGAGGCGGGCACGGTAACATGCTGCTGTTATTCTTGCAAAATATGTTTGCTTATCTGCAGATAAGCGTGCAACACGAAGAGGCCCTTGTTCCTGCTGCCGGGGGAAGGCGGGTATCCCTGTGGAGCAGCTCAGGGCAGCAGCAGCCATCCCCGCGGCCCGAGCACCCCGCTGCTCCAGCTGCAGAGCGCTAAACCCGTCAGACAGCGATATCCAAACACCCAGAGGCTGCACTTAGGAAAGCTGAACAGCAAAGAAAACAACTCAGGGGTAGGAGGGGAACTCGCTCCCCCAAAAAAAAATCATCTTGGAAAAGCCACCAACTTGACAGGCAAACACGTCTTTGAAGAGGATGTATTCTCTCCTCGGCGGGTTAACTTGGTTGCTGTACAGAGCGGAGGCAAAACGGGCCCCTTCAGAGCATCACAATTCCCCAGGAGCTGCTAAAGCCGTCAGTTACCCACGTTATTTTTAAGCCACTGAGTTATTTATATATTTAGATGGAGGCCACCCCCAACCATCACCAAAAGAAATCTTGAAAGAAGATGCAAACTCTATTTTAGGAGGCACATCCAAATCCCAATCACCCCCTGTTTCTAATGCATCTACTTCAAACAAGAGCAGCCATAAAAATAACTGTTCACGAATGAGGGAAATTTGAAACACAGTCCAATGGGGAGAGAAAGCCGGGGCTATTCAAGGACTTTTTTCAGGACAATTTCTCCCTCTGCACTCTAGAATTCAGAATTGCAAACTCGATCAGCATTTAAGGACAGAAAGTCTGCCAAGTGCTTTACTTGGAGAAAAGCTTAGCGTATGTATCTTATTTCAAGACTCCCTCTAGAAAACCTTGCTATAGCTAAATTAAACGGTGAAGTTCCTTCTCAAGAAAGGAACATTGGCTGCCTGGGCCTTGTCACGTAATGTCAGGAGAACCACATCCTCAGGGACACCAGACCAGGAGGAGCACCCTCGTGGGAAGGGGAGTCCATGACCCCACATTATAAGGGAAGGGAAAGGTGAGACAAACTCCAGGATTTCTGTACCCCCCAAAAGAAAGGGCCTTGTCGTGGAGGCGTGTGGCAACAGCAGCTGAGCTGGCAACCAGAAACGAGAGAGACCACGACCACTCCAGCAGGGAGATGGCTACCCTCCTTCCTCAGGGGCAGCAAACACCGAGTGTCTGCTTGTTCACTCACCTGCTCCTCCCCACACCTTAAACATAAAAACCCGTACACAAGCCCTCCTAGTGCCGTATTAAAGCCATCTCCAATATGACATATACATCAGCAGACCCCAGATGGATGGCAGAACTGGACACACCTCCCAAGTGTTTTGTCTTTCTTTGAACCAAGGTCCTAGATTTATCAACTAACTGCCACAGAAAAAAGCTTCGAACAAGAATCATGCCCTGCTATTGAGAGAAGCAGCAATAAAAATACCATCAGAGTCACACAGGTGAAAATAGAGCACTGGCAGCTAAACCAGAGCCTTCTGCTGCTGTTCCAGTCCCTCCAGTGACTGGAACTGGTAAACACTGCCCTATTTAAATACCCAGTTCCTGTACAGGATCACTAAAACCACTTTCCCCACACTCACCGTGCTTTTCCATAGTGCTGAAACTCTGTTGGAAAACTAACAAGCTCTATGCAAGAAAACGAACAGGAAGAGGCTTCCCACAGTACTCAGCCAAGTCTTCTGTCTGTTGTGGTCACTGACATGCCGGACTCCCGTTTCACAAATCTCCCACTCCTAAAAGCACTTGGCCATTTTGTCATCTCTGCTCTGATGAAGGGATTGGTTCCAGAAAGCTCCTGTCCCGGTGCTGGGAAGCTTGTTTTCGATTTCTGGAATATATTTCTTCCTGTCGGGTCATACAATTTTTTTTTCTTCATTATGAAGCCTTCATTACTTTTTTTTTTTTTTTAATGCATCCCTACCTTCGTACTTAGAGACAGCAATCCTCTCCTGTCATGGTCTAACCCCAACTGGCAGCTCAGCCCCACGCAGCCACTCACTCACTCCCCTCTGGTGGGACGGGGAGAATCACAAGAGTAAAAGTGAGAAAACTTCTGGGTTGAGATGAATGGGTAAAGCAAAAGCCACACACACAAGCAGAACAAACCAAGGGATTCACTGTCCACTGCCCATGGGACAGCCCCACTATCCCCAGGACAGCTGGGCTCCATCACACGTAATGGTGACTTGGGAAGATGAATGCCATCACTCTGAACGTCCTCCCCTTCTTCTTCCCCAGCTCTATATGCTGAGGATGACATCGTATGGTATGGAATAACCCTGGGGTCAGACGTCCTGGCTGTGTCCCCTCCTGACTCGCTGGTGAGGAGCAGAACAGGCCTTGGCTCTGTGTGAGCACTGCTCAGCAGTAACAAAACCATCCCCGAATTATCCACACTGTTTTCAGCACAAATCCAAAACACAGCCCCATACTACCTACTGTGAAGAAAACTAACTCTATTCCAGCCAAAACCAGCACATCTCCCCAATCTCTGAGCACAGGGTGGGGGGTCTGGGAGCTGCCCTCCTCAGGCACAGCCAAAAAGCAGGCGAAAACTAAGGCACAGTGCCCAGCTGAAGCCACGTAACTGTAAATGGCACACAGGCTGCTTCATCAAAAGTTAACGGGCTTCTACTTCAGAGCAGACACTCAGCTGGTGGTACATGCATTGGTTCAGAAGAATAACAGTATTTTAAAGTTGGTCGTGAAGTTCACACACCACATTCAGGGACATAAACCTTCCAGATTTTAGGGCACAAGAATCGCTAACTCAGTCCATCAGTTTAGGAAGCTTTCTTCATCACAAAAAAAATATAGCAGCTCCTTAGAAACTTTATCCCAGCTCATTGTCGGTGTCCTCAATACCTTCAACTTTTTAATATATATACATTTACTTTTTATTCAGATGTTAGAGCTGCCACCAAACTAGCAGAACATCAAGCGTGGGGTTAAACCACGCCAGTTATCCACTGTCTGGCACCCCAGAAGACGTGGCTAACGGGGAGACAGGAATGATGCCTGCGGAGCTGGGTGTAAACCGCAGTCGGATCGGGCTCAGGGTTTACTAATCTTCACTCAGCACCGGCCCTGCTAAATCCCAGCTGCCCCCAAAATGAGCATCCAACCCCCTGTGCAGGGACACAGCCTCAGCCCGGAGTTGGCTTCGCACGTCGGTACAGCACCAGCTGCAGAGAGGCTCTGCAGGGAGCAGCTGGCCTTCTCCATCTGCCAGCAGCTCGGGTATACCTTCAGTAAGTCACCAGGGATAAATTCTGAAAGATAGCCTATTAAGGTAATTAACTTGAACCAAATGATTCTTAATTATGGATGTCACTATATACATCCCAGCCACAGGTGAAGAATCCAAGGAAGAAGCACACTAGCTCAAAATTAAGCACTTCTTTACCATACCGTAAAGGGTTTTCTATGCAGTAAAACCTGCACAGAGCATGCAAATAATCCGAAGCAGGGACAAACTTCCCCTATAAGTCCATTTTTGTAGGAAGGGGGTGTGGCACACAAACAAGAGGAGGAAATTATTTCAACAACACCTAGAACCGTGGTTTGGTGGGTTTGTTTTTTTTGTTTGTTTTTTTTTTTTGGTTGGTTGGTTGGTTATTTTTTTTTTTGGGGGGGGGGGGGGGGGTTGTTGTTTTTTTTTTTTTTTTTTTCCTTACACTGCCAGGAAGTTAGCCAACACGAACATGCAGGGCAGCGACAGTTCTTCCGTATCTGAGAACTAGAAAAATCCATGCCTTCAAAGGGAAGAAGGAGGAAGCACTCCTGGATGAATGCCATCACCATCTGCTACCGAGATTTCTCTTTAAAATACTGATTTTTCCCAGCATCTACAGTGCAGTTGAAAGCCATCCAAAGATCTCTCCCTTTTAAGCCTCTGAAGCATTTTTTTCCAGGAGCTGCTGCAAAAGACCTAGAGCAGCGTGAGGACGGGTGGCATCCAGGAGCCTCCGGGCAGCCCCGAGGCTGGTTTTGCCAAAATAACCAGCGCAAGGAGACGGGCCAGCGCTAACAGCCAAGGGAGAAAATGCAAATGCTGCATCTCTTCCCCACCCCCTCGGTGCTAGCCCGGAGCCCTCCGTGCAGGGAGGAGGGCTCACATGTCTCTTCTTCCCAAGCACTCACCCGTTGAGAAGACACGGGAGGATGAGGAAGACACGGGAGGATGAGGAAGACACGGGTAGGCAGAGCACAGCAGGAGCATCGCGGTGCGGACCTCTGGACTCACCTCCTGCCCAGCACCTTCTGCAAAGGGTTTAGTCTCTTCTTGGGTATTTGGACATTTACAACAAAGGCAGGAAATCCTCTTCTCAAAACCAGAACTGCTCCCCATTCAAAACCTTCTATGGTCTTTTTCCTTAAAGAAACTCTCTACATTACTTTGTCAGCACGATGACAGCCACTAACCTCAAACACTGTGTAAGACAAAAAATAAACGCAGTGGTAATCAGTGTGAAAAGTAGCAGGGATACAAAGAAGGTGACTTCAGGAACTGGTGAGACTGTGGAACCACTAAGCACAATGATGAACCTTATTTTAATTTGCTTCCCCAATGCAACACACTGCAGCAGCATTTCTTAAAGCAATTTTTTTTTTTCCAAGAAAAAAATTCCTCATCTTTTGGCCTGCCAAAATATTGTTTTCCCTTAGCACAGCCACTTTGAAAAAGCAGCTCTACACATACATTTTCATACACACCACGTACATATAGCTCTGTGTCTTAAAAATAAACCTTCTTCTAGTGAGCAGATCTATGGATATGCAACAGCAAACAAAAGACCAGTCTAAAAACAAAGTTAAGGGCTTACAGCTCGTACTAAATAGCCTCACACACAGAAAAGCTCAAGGATACTATGTGTTCCCACATCAAGAGCTGCCACCCTCCCTTCATCTTCAAATCCCTTTTAGAGTTAGACTGTAAGTTCTCTGGGGCAAGAAAAATACAGTGTCTTCATTTGTTATGTAAATTACTTTATAAAACTGGACACTAAATAAATTAAAAAAACCTCAACAGACTTATTCCAAAAGCTGCAGAAGTATCAAGATGAAAGAGGCGATATAATTAAAGATCTTCACGGTGGATTTTCTTCATACAGCAAGCAGCTCAAGTTGTATTTCAGACTGATCCTTAAGTTATGAGCCAATTATACCAGAAGCTAAAAAGATTAGCCTGCGGAGGAGCAACGAGGACTGACGATTTAGTTGAGCATATGACAGCATCTCTACACTTACTGTAAAATATTCAGCATTGTATTTTCATAGCGTTATAGCATGATGGAAATTTTACAGCTGGTGGGAAAAAAAAAATCATCAGCTTTTAATATAAAGTGACACTAAGTCTACATATCCTCCCATCTCTAAAAATAGGCTTGGCTAGAAATTCACATTTCATACACAGTTCCAATAGATAAAAAGGTATTTAAAAAAAAAAAAAAATCAAAGCTTACATTTTATACTGCAAAGGAGCTGCCAAAACAGTCTTTTATTCGTACTCTTCTTGGATACTGTGTATACTGAAAATTTAAAGGAATGCGTACATCATGTCTTTGCATGATTCTGACAGAAGATACTAAAACTTAAAAGAAAAAAAAAAAGGCATCAGTTGAAAGAATGGATGAGGACATGTTCGGCTGTTTTTTTTGGGTTTTGTTTTTGTTTTTTTGTTTTTTTTTTTTTTTTTAAAACCACACGTGCATACATTTTTAGAAGCTATTTGCAGGATGCTCTTCTTGACGTTCTAGGTATAGGCTTCCTTTTGGAATTCATGAACACTCTACAATACAAATAGATTTTATGCAACTTAGTTCCCCTCTGCTTTTGTCAAACCATAAACCATTATGGATGATGCCTGGCAAAAGCATCAAAACAAGTTTGTTTTGTTTTGGTTTTTTTCCAAGAGAACTAACAAAGGGGCTACAGAAAGGAGAAGCATACTTTGTTACCCAGGGAAATAACCTAAACTCATCTCTATCAAGGAAACCAGGTTTTCAGGAAGGAGAAGAGCAGTGCAGCAGCACAGGAGAGAGGCAGCAGAAGGGGAAAAAAGGGGTGAAGCTGATGAACTGAATTGCTGACCTATTTCTCTTATCGTAAAGAAGATTCATTACAACAAAATAGTCTCCTGCTTGTTATGACCTGGTCATCACTGGTTTTATGCCTGGCACTTAACCCTACCCATAGCAAGCCATTCAGTATCCCACAGTTACGTTAAAGTAAACATAATGTGAATATCCTCTTTACTCATCTAGGGTATTTCCAGTCCAATTTTTAAGTGCTGATTTCAATAATGGTACTGATCATTCCTTACCAGAAAGGAATCCTTCTGTATTGCCTCTGGAGCTGATAAAGCTTTTTCTGTTCTCATTTGTGCCTGTATTAATAATCCTGTCAAGCTCCCCTTCACACCCCACCAACATAATACTCCAAAGCAGCCGGGAACTTCAACAAATCTCCACAACATTTTCAGGGATGCTTCTCACTCCCTTCCGAGAGCAATGGCGTCCTTGACTTCTCCTCCTTTTGCCTGTGGCATACTGAAAATCAGAGTGTCTGCCATAAAGCTCTTTAGTTCCTATGAAGCACATCAAGAAGCATTTAATAGCCCGAGATGCACGAAGGCACGCAGGTCAGGTTATTTCAGATATATCAAGTCTCATTCCCCTTGGTCTCAGACCTCTCCTGATCTCTGCAGTGAAACAGCCCTCGCTGCACGTTACCAGTACAGAGAGACGACTAGGGAGGAAGAAAGATCAGGAGTTTGAACCACAGCCCGCTGAAATCCTTTCATTCCTGGGCAAGCAGGGCTCATCTGCCAGGGCATCTGCCAGCACAGGCAGGCAAGACAAGCCTCAAGGTCACCCAGCTTGTTTGCCACATAGCAGCAGCAGACAAGTGGGAGCTAAAGTAGGACATTTTCGATCAGATGCCCATTACGCGGTTGGCTTTTCATTTAGGCTTGCTTGCATCTTCCTTAAGGTGGGATCGAGCATTTTAACTTCAAAACATAATTTACTCAGACATCAGATGTTGTCCCTATTAAGGGATGTACTTGCTTCAGCCCATTTTTCTTCTAATTATCACAAGAATCATTTAGGAAAGACAAGCTGCGTTGTAATCCCGTATCACACTACACTGAGCTTCCAGACTGGATCCAAATCCTGTCTTGGAAGCTGCCAGGACACCGGTTTTCCTAAAAGTATCCCACACCAGTCTCTGCATTTAACTTCACCACAACAATCCAGAACGAAAACGGCCAACTTCAATCTGCATTTTTTTATAAAAGACACAGAAACTGCCCCTGAACGAGGCAGGAAAGCATAATATCACCTAATGCACAGCTCCATCTAAGTCCACACTGATTTTCATACCAGAGATCTCTTACATTTCCCTACAGTTGGCTGCAAACTATTAACTAGCACATCTCTAATTAACAACCCCACAGCTCCCACTGGTAGGTTTTGATGCTTAAAACAACGGCCACTTAAGTAGACGTTCACACACCAAGTTGGTTTTGCTGCACCTAAAATCACAAGGATGCTCACCACTGCTACTGCCATTACGCCCCTCTACTAAATTTCTCTTTCATCCTATTAGTTCTCAGGTAAGCACAAAGCCCCGCAATTACCTCAGTTATTTAACATTAACTTTATAATCATTTCCTGGTACAGGATCCCTCCTGTAATCCAGCACGATCTGGTAATGAAAGGAAGGGAGAGGCAAAGGGAACGCAGGTTAGCACGGCCACGCTGATGCTACGTGAGCATTGCTGAGCTGCACTCGCCTGAAATTAGCAATGCAAGCAACATCCAGCTCAGCAATGTCTTCAAAAATCTTTTGAGGTATTATTCCTATTATTCACACTAAGACAGGGGAAAAAAAGAGAAGCTTCCTTTCTTCCAGCTACCAAATAAAACGAGAAAGTACGCTATTTAAAATTTTACATTAATACAGCAATAATAACATCTCAGCATTTCCAGCCAACAGACCAAGTCTTGCTACGAGATGCAGGACAATTCTGATTCCAGTTTTCAGTCTGGACTCATTTGCTGACGTCCTTTTAACAGCTGCACAGGTAAGGGGGAACTGTTACTGCTATTTCATTTTCACGGTATGGCCATTTCCTCCCTATAGGAAGGACCCCGGCACAAGTACAGAAATAATCGCTCAGCTCCACTTCAAACATGGCTGAAGTCAGTCACCAGCCACCTGAACGGCAGCTCCTGCTGCTGCCAAAATGAAGGCTGCCATCCATTTTGCACTGAACTCACCCTCCTGATCGTTTCTGACACGGCTCAGGGACTATTTTTCCCTTACTTAGCCCAGTTTGGCACGTGCCCACTCCCTAAGGAACCTGCGAGGTTCTCCCTTCCTAAAATTCACAGCATTCTCTTCGCTCTCCATTGCTTTTCTTCCACCGGTTAGCAGTCCAGCCACACCACCCTCAACGCCCTGCTCTCACTGCACACCCTGTCCATCTGTCCTTCTGCCTCCTTCTCCTCACCCTCCGTGTCCTCACCGGTGACCTTCCCTCCCCCTCAGGTCCACGGTGGCTGACTGGGACACCTACGCACCCACCAGCTCCACCTCGACTTCCCAAAGCCGCCGCAGTCCAGCCTCCCCCACCCCAAACCGGCCACACTGGAACCACCACCCCCATCACAGAACCCCTTTTCCCCCCCAGTCCCGCCCCACCCTCCTGGCCCCGCCCCCTCACGACCACACCCACTACAGCCCCACCCACCCATTACCATAATCCCCACCCCCAGGCCCCGCCCCTTCCCCGCTGCCAGCCGTTAAACCCCTCCCTTCCCGCCTCAAGCCCCGCCCCCCTCCGCAGACCCCCGCCGCGCCCCCCCCCCCCCCCGCTTTCCCGCCGCACTCACGCGGCCGGTTCTTGCGGACCGAGTCCCGCCGCTGGCGGCCGGCGCAGCCGCCCCGTTCGTGGGGCTGAGGCCCCGCCGGGCTGTCAACGCCCGCCGCGACACCGCTCCGCTGCCGCGGGGGTCCGACGTCCGGCGGCGGCGTCCCCCCCCCGCCTCCTCCACCCCCCCCACCACCCCCCCGCCGCCGTGGTGGCGGTGGTTTCTCCTCCGCTCCGCCGCCGCCGCCGCCGTTGCGCAGCGGCTCCATCGGCAGCGCGGCCCGGCCCCATGGGGCGCCCGCCCCGCCGCGCCGTGCCCCGCCGCGCTCCCCTCAGCCACCGCCGCAGCCGCCGCCTCCACCGCGCCTGCGCCGGCCGCGGGGCGGGGCGGGAGAGGCGGTGAGGTGGGGCTCCCCCACCCAATCAGCGCCCACCGCCGCGCGGAGCGACAGGCGGGTTTACCAATAGGAGACAGAGATTGGAAGGGGAGGGGGCTCCACGCCCTTCCCCCCCCCCCCCCCGCCGGCGCTCAGGCGCGGGGAGTGACAAGTGCGGTTAGCCAATCGAATGCGCGAGGTCGGTACGGGGCGGGGGTGAGTCGCTATGCAGCAGCGTTGGCCTATGGTTTCCCTCTGGGAAGAGAATGACACGACAGCCGTCCAATGATGTCAGGCGGTTGGCGGGGCGGGAGAAAGCAGGCTGATTGACGGGGCCGGGTAACTATGGCAACGCAGAAGAAGGTGACGGGACGGGGGGGGCGGCCGAAGGGAAGACGGCAGTAGGCCCGGTTGGGCAGGGCGGTGCGGGGTGCTGCTTTGCATACCATTTGCATATGCAGATAGCAAGGCCTCCCTCACCCCCGGACCCCCCGCCATGTCAGCCTGCGCCCCACGGCCCTCCCTCGCTGTCCGGGGGCAATTTAAACCTCCTTGCTCCTCACCTACGGCTCGCCCCTTCCTCCGGCTGCTCCTTCATCTGCCTCCTCGGGGGAGCTCAAGATTGTGGCAGCTCTGCCGTCGAGGACACTCCGTCCCCCCCGGCGTGCTGCAAAGCGTAATGCTCTGGGGCCGCCTCAGCCACGGCAGCGACGTACAGCTCAACAGATTCGGATGTTTCTGGGCTCCACGCACACCGGAGGACAACTGGGAGGGCTCCAGGCTTGTTGGGGAGAGCTAAGGTTCTCCTCCGACAGAGAAAGAGGCGGACAGACTGCAGGAAGAAGTCCCCTCCCGCTTCAAAAGGCCTCTGAGGTCAAGCTGGAGCCAAACCCCCTCTACCAGCGAGGGCAGATGGAGACTCGAGTTCCCCAAAGCTCGGTAGAAAGGACAGACGCAACAAAACGGGAACCGAGACAGGAGGTTTACGAGGAGAGGCAAAGAAACAAGGGTCAAAGGTGCAATTCAGACCCAATCCTCGGCTCCCCTAGGCATCACAATGTAATTTAAGTGCTGGCACCTCCTGTTCTTTAAACTCTGACCCTACGTTTGTCAGAGCTGAGCTAACGCTACAGCAGCAGCTGTGCAGGCAACAGAAAAATCCAGGCGACCATAAAGAGGGGCGCAAGCAACGATCAAGAGGATGACATTCAAGAGGAAAACAGACTCCCAGACTATATGATGCTGTGACAGCTCCCGCTGTAACACGATGGATGTTCTTAGGAGGAATGGTAGTTGATGTCTTAACACACCCAGAGCACGGCCAAGCGTGGAGCTGCAACCCCGGTGCTCTTCACCTGCGCTGTGTTCATCTCGGCTCACTGAAACCCTCGGGCATTAATTCGATACCAAAAGGATAAGCGGCTGACATTCAAAAAAGGTGTCATAACTTCACTAAGAATTCGCCAAATTCGGGTTGCTGTGGTGAAAACGGGGCAAAGGGATTGGTACAAATTTAGTTTGTATAATTTTCGTATCCTGTTGGGCAAGGGCAGGAAGCACACAAATGATGTTGGTGCCGATATGAAATAAAGTATAACCTCTGAAGGAAAATAACCCTTTTTCATCAAAGCATTGCCTTTGTTGTGTTAAAAAACAAATTCACTGAGCTTCGCTGCCTGAAGTTCAGAGCATTTTCAACACCAAGTCCTGGATGCGTCTCACACTCCTGGGTTGTAAGGCAAGAGCTCTAGCTGGGAAAGCAGAAAGCAAGGAGAGCTAGCGGTCTGAGCTCTTGGGAGCCTCTTCTCCAAAAGGCAACGTGGAGAGGTAACGCGGCTGAAAAGGGCTGTTTCCATCATGCTGCTCAAAAGCTTCCAACTTGTCCCCAGAAGGCATCCCGCCGCAGGCCGGCTCCCCCCCGGCTCCTTCACCAGCCAGGGGTGAGCTGGAGCTGGGCACAGCGGGTTTTGGTGGCGTTGGCATCTCTTTTCTGCAGGTCAGGCCAAGCCTAAAGCTGTTCAGCAGGTGAGGAGCAACCACCGCTGGTCCCTGAGCACCAGAGCTGAACCCAGGGTGGCAAAGGTGGCCCAGCTCCCTTTGTGCAGGATCCCGGGATCCAATGCGATCAAAGAATCTGGGAGAGGCTGCATCACAAAATGTGAGCAGCGTCCTGGGCTTGGTGTATACTGTCCACCCCAGCACACATCCATCTGCTCATGGTGTCCACCCAGTTACATCCAGTCCCTTCCCTCCCAGCCTGCCACCACTCGGCCACAGCTGCCTGCAGCCTGATTTCTCCCAAAGGCTCTTCTAGCTTGCAACAGTTTTCAGCTCAGACCTCTGCTAAAAAGCCTCTGGGGTGTTTCTCTTCCCACAACTTGTCCGGTTCCTCTTTGGCAACCACAACATCCTGAGAAAATTTCTGCAGCGCAGCTATACGCTGCGTTGAGAACCACCCTCCCCCTCTTCATCCTGAACCCGCCGTCTGGGCTTCCTATGACCTGCCACGGTGGGCGTCCTCTAGACCAGGACCTGTGTTTGCTCCAAAACGAGGTCTGGAAACTGCCCCCAAATCCCATCCACCTCTTCTTGATACGGACTGACGGCCTCAGTCTCAATGTGTCGCTGCCAGTAGCGCCCTTCAAAGCTTTCCCTCTGGCAATGGTTTCATAAAGAAACCGTTTCTGTTCCTCAAGACCCCGACACAGATCCAGACGTTGCCACGAACAAGAACACCAGAAGAACACAGATTTCACGGTGCTTGGCACTGTCTGAACCTTCCCCCAAACCCTGGGAGGTCACCTCTAGTCTCTGGGATGCTGGAACAGGAGGCGTCACCTCAACATACCCAACACATAACCCCAAAGATCTAAGCAAGGGTCTTACCAGAACTGGTTGCCCAGGGGCAGGCTGAGGAGGAAGAAGAGGTGAGGAAGCCAAATTCCTGGCAGACGCTCCTCGACACGCAGGCAAGGGTTCTCCAAGAAACCCAAACGCGGCTCACAGCAAGGGAAACGGTCCAACTCCCATGGATGGAGTTGCTTGAAATTAATAGATGGCAAAAGTTGTACAAACAGCCTTCTCTAAAAGCACCTGTCTTCTTAAATGGGAAAACCAAGGGGCGTGGACTGCAGCAACCCTCCCCAGAAAAGCAGAAGGTTGTTTGGATTCTTCTTTGCAGCCTCTACTTCCCAAGCAGGTGATTAATTCTCCAGCCAACTTCAAAGTGAAAACTTTCCTTGCTCTTCAGAGGCTTCAAAAGCTGAGATCCATCCCCCTCATCTTACAAACACACACAGCAACCTCACAAGTTGAGTGTGAAGTGGCAAAAAATTTTATTATACAGTTAGTAAAGGCTTTTTTTCTTTTTTTTTTTTTAAAGATGTGCAGAGATACAGTTCCCTCCTGCAGGTTCACCTGCTGATTACACTTTTAAAGTGCTACATTACAACTGTGAAAACACTGGCACTTCACAGCAGAAAACTGAACGTGTGCTTTTATCGAGTCTGAAGCGGCGATAAATCAGCTGTTTCACAAGAGTGATTCGATGTGAAACGGCAAAGCGTCCAAGCCATTGCTAAAAACTAGTGGGAAAATAAGCGAAGAATTTTGCAGGCAAGTAAAGCATCAGAGAAGAGGGCCTTGGTATGGATGCTGCTGGTTTGGGATCTCAGGGACGACCTCTGAATCACGCAGAAGGCGTGTGGAGAAGGCACGCGCCCCCTCTCGTTAACAAATTTTGTGATGGATTCTGCAGCGTGGTTACGCAGGCGCGCGTACTCCGCTTCATGATCCATATTCTGCTTTATTGGGGTGCAATATTCAGTCGTAAACAAGCTTTTTTAACAAGGTGAAAGGATTTGGGAAGATTTCCTTACCCACTTGCAAATAAAGAGAAATTCTTGGTGCTGAAAACTGCAGCTATCACACGGAGGTGGCAGGTCTCTACAAAACCCTCGCTGACAAAATTACAAAAGCTGAGTTAAAAAACAGCTTAGGGAGACTGCTGATGGGGGGATCCTGGGTTCTTCTCCCTGCTTGCAGGGAGGTTTTGGACAAGTCACCACATTGTCTTTAAATGGGGAGAACAGTCTCTATGTTCCCTCTCCCAGCAGAGGAGGACAAGTGTATTTAAAAGCACTGTCCCTTCCTCTGACGGATAAAGCGCCGGGCACAACAAACATCTCAAGTTCACCTGGAGAGCAGCGCTGTCAGATCAAAACCAACACCTCCCTATCGCATACCTTTATTGTCCTTCATGTTTAAGGGAGGCATTTCTTGCATTTTGGGGCAAAGCGTTAGGAGGGAGGAGCAGCCATTCACGCCGACCCGGGGCTGACGGACCCTTCCCACCGCAGGCCAAGCTCCGGGCATGACGGCTGCACTTTGCAGCCAGGCGTCGGGGAGCTCATCTTCCTCCTGCTCCCCCGCCAGCAGGAAGGCTGTATTTCGGGAGGCTGTGCCGAATGGCAGGAATCCAGGAGGAATAAATTACTGGACACAGCGAAGCAGGGAAGAAGCAACAGCCTGGATTAGGAGCGCAGCCCGGCCAACGGTTTAAAGCCCGTGGCATCCTTGCGGGCTCGCCGGATTCAAACTGTGCCAGCCCACAGCACGAGCCTTCTGCTGTGCAAATCCACCACCAGATTGCCAAATGTTTTGCCCAGTCCTGCCTCCAGACCCAGCTCTCCTGCTGCCCCCCAGCAAACCACAAGAGGGTTGAAACACCTGAAAGTCTACACTGGTGTCTTTAGAGCTTACAAATAAAAAAGAAATCCGCTAGCTACCATAACCCTCTAACTACAAAAAAAGTAGTTTTGTTGCTTTTGTGCCCCTGCGCTTTTGGGAGGAGATGAGATGGAGAACAACCTGCAGCTGCAGCCACAGAAGCGGGCAGCACGGCTGGTGATCTCTAAACTCTGCCTAGAGCTGGAAATGCGTGCCAACAGCAACTGAGCGGGGCTGCTTCTGCCCCTGAAAGCTGCCCTGGGCAGGGGGAAGGTGGGGATATTTATTTGGGTTTGAGGATTTTGGGGTTTAGAGGATCTTAGAAATCTTGCAGCCCGATCCCCTCGCACTCCAAGATGATCCTGGGGAATATCAGGGAAATTAGACTGCAATTTTAAACAATACCTTCAAGATAAACTAGAATAGCTCATACACTGGGTATGGCCTCCCTGCAGCGCGCAGAGTCAATCCTATTTTGTGTCCCCCTGTACTCCTATCCCATAGCACCAGGTATCGGGAAAGGCAAGAACTACATCCACCCTCCTAGCCAGGCTCTAAAAATACAATTAGAAATCAGACGCCCAACAATCTTGTGTGGGACCAAGTCCACTTAATGCTGATACTGTGCAAAATGTTCCTCCTAAAGCAGAATCCCACTTTCCCTGGCTGGAGGGGGATGAAATGAGCTTGACTGAGAAAGCTGGTGAGATGCAGCTTTTTATCTGACCCTCAGCTTCATCCCCAGGGTGCTGCATGAAGCGATCCCAGAGCCCATCCCCGACCCTCAGGAGGAGGGGAGGACATTCCAAAGCAAAGCAGCGAGGCAGGACGATGGCTCCCAGGAGAGGGGACAGCTTGCACTCGGTCTGGCCTGGTGCCTTCTCATCACAGGGACGTCTCTCGTCAGGGATGAGCAGATGGCAGCAGGATGTACCGGGGTCCTGCCCGCGCACCCAGCACCGGGGGGAAAGGAGAGGCAGAGATGAGCAAAGGTCAAGCTACAGCAGGGGCAGAGACACCAAATAAGGCAAATTCAACATGAGGCGCCTGGTGAAGGCTGATGCACAGACCCTTGGGCACGTTTTCAAGCCGAGATGAGCAGAGCCAACAAAATCAGCTCCACTTTTACAAGATGTCTGCAAAACCTCTCCTCGCTGCACTGCCTGAGGGACTGGGGGGGGGTCACCCTTTGGACCTCCAGGACACGTTTCCACGGGACCAAACAAGGAAAACATGGAGAATCACCATGAGGACTTTCTTTTTCAACTCAAGGGATCGCTCCCTGAGCAAGCCCCTTTCTATGGGTGTAAAAGGAGAAGGCTACAGACAAGATGGTTGGGAGATGGGGGGAACAGACCCCAACCCAACAGCATCACGCAACCAAGGCCTCTTCCAGCAAAACTTTCCAGAAAGAGATTTAACAATGCCCCTACCATCCCCGCCACTGCTCTTCAGGCTTCAAACGTGTCGGCCAAATTCCTGCCAGGAAGAGGAATCGGCCAGGCTGAGTGATGGTGGTGGCATCCCATCCACTCCAGCGCTATTTCTGCAGGCGAGTGTACACCAGAAACGCCACAGCCGAAATCACAGCGATGCCCACAGCTGGAATGATGTATGGCAGGGACAGTCCGTTGCTGTCCCCTGATGTTGCTTTGGCCTGAGACGAGCTGGTCACAGTGCCACCGGCCCCGCTCGAGTGAAAAACTGGAGCATTTCCAAAGGGACCAGCTCCATCTTGGAAATCGTTGCCTGCCTCGAGCTGGGTGCTGGTGTGATGGTCCACGCGGACCTCGTGGGTGCCCAGGGAGGTGCTGATCCAGTTCGGCGGTGGACTGGAGTCTCTGCTTGCTCCAGCTGCTTCCTCTTCCCTGGGGTCAGTATGAGCTGCTGGAGCCAGGAATCCCGAGGAGACTCTGGAGAGCGCTTCTCCTGAGCTTGAGCTATCCGTGCTCACCATGAGTGGGTCGCTGCTGAAGGTGAGGCTACCGGATGCCTCAGAACCAGCCACCTCTGGGCTCTCCTCAGCTGTGGAGAGGAGGGCACCCGGCTTGCTGAGCTCCACATCCCTCTCCACGCTGCTGCAAGCCACCCAGATGCTGGTGGCAGAGCTCACCCGGGATGCTGTCCTCCTAGAGGACGTGCCTTCAGAGCTTCCTGCAGCAGCTGGGAGAGAGTTCGCCGAGGCCAGGAGTACCTTTGGGAGACAACAAGAGGGGCTGGGTGCCATGGGGATCACCCTTTTGGTCGCGTCTTGGGCACCCATGTCACGCAACAAGCTTGCTTCAGCGTTCAGCCACCACATCTCCAGCCACTAACAGTGATGTTGGGTCACAGGTAACTCCCAGAGCTGGGAGAGTGAGCGGGGCGGGGAGGTGTTGGGGCTCCAGGGAGCCTTTGGATTTCAGGGGAGATATGGAAAGGAAGGAGGGGGACACAAGAAGCGAGGAGAGGGATGGAAACAGGCATCTGGAAGCCAGGACACTGACTGGCATGTCAAGGGGGGGAAATAAGGAGTCAAAGCCAGACAAATGGCTCTCTTCTCCTATGCTCCAAAATACAGCATCCAGACAGGGACGTGAACATAGTAGGGAAAAAAAGCCTTAAATAAACTCACCACCAGCTCAAAATCTTACACTGCAGCAGAAAATCTCCCAGCCAGGGGGAGTTTTGCAAGGACCCAAATGAAATGCAAGTAGCAACAGGAAAGGTCACCTACTTTCTTTTTCGTTGGCATGGAGGGGGTGCTGCTGGCCATCTCCCCCATGGGCAGTTCTTGCTCTTGTACAGGAGGCTTCGTGGAGATGTCGCAGGATGGGGGACCATCTCCAGGCACGAGGGTAGCAACTGGGGTGGTTGTTTCCACCCGAGTGTCTGTCAGGGAGAAAACAAAACATATTGTGTTAATGGAGAGACCTAAAAAGCGAGTTTTGCTCTTCCTCAAGGACGCTGCAACAGGATACTCCCAGAGCTGAGGGGGTGGGACAGGGAGAGGGCCCAGCACCACTGACTGCTGGCTGTGTGGCCCTGGCTCTGCCACAGCACCTGAGCTCTCCTAGTAGGTAAATGAGATGGCACCAGGCAAGCCAGTACCCCCAATCTGTTCCTTCCTTCAAGAGCAGAGTGGCCCCAGGTTGCTGAAATCGGGGTGTGGAGACATTCAACCATGGTGTTTGACAACAGAAATGCTTCGAAGCAAGTGCTTCTGCCCCCTCCTGGTCAGGATATTGTGACAAAATACAGCAAGCAACAACAACTGGAGGGAAGACCATGAGAAAGCAAGCAGCCAGGCTGGATTTCTGCACAACCCAACCTTGCTCCCTTCCTGCAGGAGGTCACTGCAGCCCAGCAGCGGGTGACACCCAGCAGATGGGTGACAACAGCACAGAGAGCTGTTCTCTACACCTCTACAAGCGCTCACGGGCCACAAAAGCAGACAAAACCCTGCGCTGTCCTGTACCAACAGGCGCAACTGCCACTTTGTTGGGAGGCTCCCCAAAGCCTCCCAGCAGGGCTCCACCCCACCTGCACCTTCTCTGCCACACTCCATCCTCACCAGCAAGCAGGACGGGCATGTGGCAGCACCCCCAACCCTGCTCCCCATCAGCAGGGGACTGCCAGCTAGGAAACCCACCTCCATCTCCTCCGTCCTCTCGCAGCGTCCTGACCCGCTTCTGCTCCACATCAAACTGCTGCTGTATGAGGAGGGGGCTGCGCACATCCACAAAGCTGCCCGGGGGTTCGCTGTGCTTGGAGCGGGGCACACCTTGGTTTTTGGGCAGTGAGGCTGGGGGCTGCGGCTCCGCGCTGCGAGGAGCCTCCTCCGGCCTCAGGGGCGACTCGGCGGAGACGTAGAAGTCCTCTTCGGGCTCGTTCCTGGGCTGCTCGGGGCCGCGAGCAACGCCTGCATCCCTCGGGGGAAGGGACCTGCGCAGACCCAAGCCTGGCGCGCCACGGTGCAGGTGGTTGGCGTTCCCAAAACACCCGTTGTCTACGCACACCGGGTGCTGCTGGCGGCTCAGCCAGTCCCGGCTCCGCTCGGGGGGGGCAGCCGATGGCACGGCAACGCTGGCTGCCTCTGGGGTCCCCACTGCTGTCTGCGTGGCCTTGATGGGGGGAGAGAGGTGCCCCTCTCCGCCGTGCCCGTCACTCTCTGCGCTCCGAGGTGGAGGTGCCTGAGGACTTTCTTTCTCCAGGTTTTTGGGGAGCTGGAAGGAAATGAGCTGTGTTAAACCGCTGTGTCAGGATGAGGGGGTCTGGGACCACAGGGGTGCCCCAAATCCTGACCCAGTGACCCACGCGAGCCTGGCAATGAGGGGGTCTCTCCTCAGCACCCACTGCACAGCCCACTGCATGGGGTCGGGGGCTGTGGAGGGGAGCCTGGACTAACAGAGCAGACCCTGTACTCCCATCCAGGAGAGGGGAGCAGTTATAGGGCCATATGTAGGCTATAAGTTACCAGATGCAGCAAGCACGCAGCAGAGATCAACAGCGAGAGGCTGCTTGGGGTGTCCCTGAATGAGCCTGGCCCTAGTCCTGGCGCTGCACCGCACCGACGCTCTAGTCCAAAAGGGACCTTTGTGTCCCCATCTGACGAAGCTCCACTCACCGATTCCTGCACCGGGGCCCTGGCATCCAGGTCCGTGCTCACGGTGGCGGTGGCACTGGGTGGGAGAGGGGGTCGGCTGCCGGCGGGCAGGTCTCGGCGCGGCTGCTCAGCCAACGGGGCGCCTGGAGAAGGGTTCGGCCCCGGGGATTGCGTCTGAGCACGGATGGAGGAGACGGCGGGACGGGCATCACTGGCTGCAGGAGGTAAGGAGGCAGCAGAGGGAGCCGGGGAACCTGGAGGAGCCAAAGCAGTTTGTGAGTGGGGACATCGGGGGAAAGCTAAGGAGGGAGAGGATGAGTGTGGGGTGAAGGGAGCCCCTTGTGTGCCCCTGCTCTGTCCCCACATCGGCCAAACCCACAGTACCCCTTCATTCATAGAATCAGACTGGTTTGGGTGGGAAGAGACCTTAAAGCCCATCGAGTCCCACCCCCTGCCCCGGGCAGGGCCCCCTTCCCCCAGCCCAGGGGGCTCCCAGCCCCGTCCAACCTGGCCTTGAACCCTTCCAGGGAGGGGACAGCCACAGCTGCTCTGGGCACCCTGGGCCAGCGCCTCACCCCCCGCACAGGGAACAATTTCTGCCTTATATATAACCTAAACCTACTCTCTTTCAGCTTAAAACCGTCCCCCCCTTGTCCTATCCTCACCCCCTGATTCAGAGTCCCCCCCCACCTCTCCTGTCTCCCCTTTAAGCCCTGGGAGGCCGCTCGAAGGTCTCCCCGGAGCCTTCTCTTCTCCAGGCTGAACCCCCCCAACTCTCTCAGCCCGGCCCCCCAGGGGAGCTGCTCCAGCCCCCCCAGCATCTCCGTGGCCTCCTCTGGCCCCGCTCGAGCAGCTCCGTGTCCTTCTGCTGTTGGGGGCCCCCGAGCTGGCCCCAGCACTGCAGGGGGGTCTCCCCAGAGCGGAGCAGAGGGGGACAATCCCCTCCCTGGCCCTGCTGCCCCCCCTGCTCTGGCTGCAGCCCAGGGCACGGGTGGGTTCTGGGCTGCCAGCGCATGGGGCTGGCTCACAGGCAGTTTTCCCCCACCAACCACCCCAAGTCCCTCTCCTTGGGGCTGCTCTCCAGCCACTCCTCGCCCAGCCTGGATTTGTGCTGGGGATTGCCCCGACCCATGGGCAGGACCTTGCACTTGGCCTTGTTCAACTTCATGAGGCTTGCACAGTCCCACCTCTCCAGCCTGTCCAGGTCCCTCTGGATGGCATCCCTTCCCTCCAGGGACAGAATCTTTCCATCTCCCCTTCAGTTGTGAAACCCAGGCCACCGCCAGCCCAAACACCTTTGAACGTAGTCCCTGCCATCCCCAGGCACATCACTGGGGTGAGGGAAATCCCTGAGGACAGTCACAGACACCCCCAGAGCCCTGGGAAGCTGGGACAGAGCAGCCAACTGCTCAGTCGTCACCAGGAGACGTGATTCGGGTCCCCATCCCCACCAGACCCGGAGGACAACACCACCCAGGGACAAAGAGGCTACATACGGGCTTGCCAGGAGTCATATACGTCCTGCAGCTCGTCAGCCAGGTGCCCAGCGTTGTTCTGGCGCAGCGCATTGATGAGATCGGGCACCCAGCCCTGCCGGCACTTCAGGTGCTGGTAAAACCTATAAGCTGTCGCCTGGCTCCCCCGCGTTTCCTCCCGGGAGTGAAGTTCATCCTAAATAAAGCACACAGGGCATCTCAGAGAGGGTCAGGCTTAGAGGTAGGGCAGCTACCTGTTGCTTGAGCTATATACATTGGGGAAGGAGCTGGCAGGGTTTGGGAAAGCAGGGAATTACTCTGTCAGCGTCGGTCAGGCAGCTCAGGGAATCAGCCAGTGACGCCACGCGGATGTTCTTGAAATTCATAAAGTTTTTCAAAATGTACTCGTACACTTTGTCTTCGGCGAAACCCATCCTGGCTCAGCACCTGCCCAGAGAGAAGGAGAGACTTAATGTGAGCAGCGAGCTGCTGGGGATGCTCAGCGTCCTCTATTTTCTATAGGAGCCCGGCCCGCAGGCACCAGGGGAAATCCCCGGCGGAAAACACGTGAAATAAAAATACCCTGCTTGAACGTTCAGCTCTCAACTCCGCATTCACAAACTCTGCGACCGCCCAGGCCGTATTTATTCTCTTGTTGGTTGTTTGTTTTGCGGCAGGGCTTATCCCACCCGCGGGACTTTTCGTGACAAGGTCACGCCAGGCAAAGAAGTGGGGGATGGTGGGGAGAGGAGGGGGGCGAAGTTGCGGGTCCTGCTTGAGGCGCTGGGCGACGGCGGTTTCCCCAGTTTCTCACCGACGGGCCCGGAGGGAAAGCGGTGAAGCTCCGTCCCCCCGTGGAATGGGCAGCCGCGGGTGGGGGGGCCCTGCGCGGCCTACCCCGCTCCCGCCGAGACTTGGTGTTCGGAAATGGAGTGGAAACACCCTCACACACCCACCCTCGCATCCCCCCGGGGCTCGGTGGGCGCGGGGGGGGGGGGACGGAGGACGACCCCCGGTTCCGTCCCGCGGCCGCCCCCCCCCACACACACACGCTCACCTCCACCCGCCGCCGCCGCGCCGCCGGGACCTTCCTCACCCCTCCCACTCCGCGCGTCGCCGCTGCTGATTGGCCGTCGCGCACGCCCGTCTCACTGATAGACAGGCGGCGTGAGGAACGGGAAAGGGAAGCGCCCGCCCTTCCCGTCCAGCGGTGCCGGATTCCGGGGCGGCGGGGTGGGTGTGTGTGTGTGGGGGGGGGGGGGGTTGATCCCGACCGCCGCTCCCCCCCCCACCTCCCCGCGGGGCGGGGGGGTGTGAACGGGACGATGGCTCCCGCGCCGGGAGGTGGCAGCACCGTCGCGGCGAACGGCCTCCCCCCCAGCGCCTGGCGGAGGGATCCCCGCCGCGCCCGCCTCGCCCCGCCCCCTTTCGCCCCGCCCCCGGCCCTGTCAGCGGCGCGCGCGCCCTGCATGGAGCCGCACCATGGCGGCGGCGGCGGCGGCGGGAGCGGGCGGGCGGCGGCGGGGGCGCCGCTGAGGGCCGGCAGCCCCGCGGCGGGGCACTGAGGGGCGGCGGGGCTTCTTTCCCTCCCCCCCCCCCCCTTCCCCTTTATCCTTCCCTTTCCCCTCCCCTTTCTTTCCCCCCCCACCCCAACCTCCCTCTTTCCATCCCCCCCGTCCCCCCCTCCCCGTCCCCCCGCCCCGACCCCCGCGCCCTCCCCCGGCGCGGCGTCCATGGTCGCGCCCGGCCGCCGCGGCCTCGCACCGGAGCCCTTGGGCGGCGGCGAGGGGAGAAAGGAGCGGGCCCGGCGCTGCCCGCCGCGCCGCAGGTGAACGGCCGACGGGGGCTTCGGGGGGGGGGTGGGTGGGTGGGTGGGTGTGGGGGTGTGGGGGTGTGTGAGGGAGGGGGTGGTTGTTATGGCGACGCGGGGGGGGGGGGGGGCGCCCACGCGTGTCCGCGGCCTCTGCGTGGGGCCCGGCTGGGGCTGCCTCGCTCCCCGCCCTCCCCCGCCGTCAGTTTTATAACGTTTTTTTTTTTAAAAAAAAAAAAATTTCTTAATAATAAAAAGCGAATCGCGGATCGCCCCACCTGAACTCCCCCCCACGCGGGGCTGCAGCGATCCCCCCCCCCCCCCCCTCTTTCCCCGCACCCGTGGGGCCTCCGAGCTGCGGACCCCTTCCCTCCCAGCGCCCGGCGGGGCAGGGCAGGTCGTGGGACCGCGGTCGCGATACGCCAGCCCCCTCCCTCCCTGCCACTCCCTGCCGTCGGATCGCGGCGGGGAACACGGACACGCAGGACACCAACCGGCCGCGCTCAGCCTGACCTGCAGCCTCCTCCTCATCCTGAGGACACAAAGCTTTTTTTTTTTTTTTGGGGGGGGGGGGGGTTGGGGGGAAGCCTTGGAGGCTCGTGACCTGGCTCCCACCCCACGCCATCCCTCGGGGAGATGCGCCAAACCGGAGCCTGGGAGGGGACCCCGAGGAGCGTGAGCCCCCGGGGCCGTGTCCCCTCCTCGCCCTGCATCCCAAACACGCTGCCCCGCTCCCGGCTCTCCCACGCTCGGGTAGCTGTGTCCTCCCTCCTCGGCCAACGCTCACTTATTTCTGATCTTGGATGTCATCAAGGGTGGAAAATGTGACAGGAAGGAAGGGAGGCTTTTTTTCCTCTTGCTAAATACAGACTGACATTAAAATCCAAAATACTGTCGTGAAAGGAATCCCAGCTCCCTGTTTATTGGAGGAGGGAAAAACGATGTTTTCTGGCTTTTTGGCTGTGAGGTTCCAGCTGGGAAGTTTCGCAAGGAGCAGCAGGGTCCTTGCCGAGAGCCTCAGAAATTTACTTTGCTTGTTCGCAGGACGCTCTCCGCAGTGTATTACGCTAAAAAAATTAGTCATCCCTTCCCTGCCTGTCCGTGGCTGGGGGGAGCTTGCTGCGAGCACGGAGGATGCTTTGAAAATATTGAGGGATTTTTTTCCTCTCCTGTGCAAGGAAGGAAAAGAAAAGGGGTGCGGGCAAATAAAACTGCAGCCGCAACAGGAGTTTTTCATCTTCCTTTATTTTAATTCCTGCAGCAGCCGGTGGGAGGGAAGGAGGTGCACGGGGTGGCTGCGGCTGATACAGGGAGCTGCTGGGTTTGCGAGGAGGATTTATGTCTCTCTCTGTCAAGAATCAGATGCAAACTCATGCCGTTATTCCCACGGTGAGGTTGGGGAAACCGGCTCGATGTGGGGCTCTGGGATGAGGAATGGGACCCCCAGGGATGGTCGTGGTGCTGCCAGCTCCCCCGATGACTTCTGCTGTGGCCAAGGTGAAGAGCCAGGATGTTTTTGGGGGGAGGGCAGGGACCCCAGCTTCGCTGGGACCTGGGAGTGCTCTGCAAGACAGACTTGGCAGAAAATGGGCACTGCCACGTTCCCCTTCCACGTGTTCCTCACCATCCTTGTCAGAGAGCTTTTTGGGGAGGGGTGTCTGTGGGAACCTCCGGGGCTTTTGCCTCATCTTTACAAAAACAGTTTGTCGGAGCGGTGGGGGGGATACTGGGAGGTGCTGAAAATAGATGTTTCCCATTTCCAGGGGCATTGCTGTCCTGGCGTCGGTGCGGCTGTATTGTTTTCAAGCTAATAGGATACATAGCTCTGCTTTTCTGAAATGTCACTCTCAAATAACTGATGCTTTGTGCGGATCCGTGATACTGGTCCAAGTCCAACATCAACATCCTTGTGAAAGAGTAGTTTGAATTCCCTCGCTTTCCCCCGTCTCCTCCCGCCGCCGGCCTACATCTTCAGCTCCTCCAACCCTCCCGTGTCCGCGGCAGGACAGCGGGTCCTGGATCCGGCAGGAAGGGTGCAGGTCGGGTGATCTCAGCCCGCCGTGGGTCTGCCCTGACCGCTTTGGGTAAGGCGGTGCCGAGCCAGGGTTGCGCCGTCGTGGGCTGCGTGATGCCTCAAAACGCTGAGGAGCGCGGGGTGGGTGATTTGGGGTGGAACGGAGCGCCCGCACGCTGCCGTGGGGTCAGGAGTGGTGCAGCAGAGGCACAAGCTGCTGGCTGGTATTTTTATCCCTGGTGTTATACGAGAAGGAGGTCAGCCCTCGCGGCTGCTTTCTGGTCTCATTCACAAAGCGCGTTTTCCTCTCGAAATAAAACAAATCCCCTGGCTTTCCTGTCGCGATGGAAATCGTTTGAATGTGACCAGGTCCATAAGCATCTCCAAAGCCTGCGGACAGGAAGAAACACTAGAGCAAAGAAGTAGGAAATGTCCGCGTTTATAGCAGTGGGCTGATTCATCTCCCTGCTCTTAACTCTTTCCCTCCTGCTTTTGGTGAGATCCAGCCGTTTTGCTTCCAGGCTCAGAGGCCGAGGAGGATATCGCCAGCTCTCCTCTAGTTGGATCGCAAAATACTGCTGGGTTTTGTACGTTGTGTTTATGTGGTTTGGGGTGGAAAAGGAATGGGCTGTTGGGGGTGTGCAATTATCCACATCAGATAACCAGAACATCGGCAGTCACATTAGGAGGGATTAATATTTAATATATAGGGTATGAACAATTGTGCTTAATCACTATCTGAAGGGCTTAGGAAGAGATTTACCGATAAGCAAGCAATTCCCAAACTGTCCAGAATGATTTCTTGCATCTTCCTCAGGAGCAGCTGGTCCTGGCTATCGCTAGAGGCTGGCCTGATCCTGTTCTTCCTGATGTCTCCAGGTTTTGTAAGTGGGTAGAGTGGCTTTCATCATGAGTGCTTCTTCTCATTAAACTCACAAAAAATGCTGGAAAGATTTTTTTTTTTTTTTTCTCTGATACAACTCACGTGGCTGTACTGGAAGCTCTAGTACCTGGCAGTGCTTGGAACTTCTGTGTGCAGCCAAAGCTCGTGGGAAACGTGTCTTGGGCTCGGCGGACGCCGTCACTGTCACATCCACCAGCCCAGCCACGAGCCCGGAGCTGGCTCGTTCGTACTTTTCTCTGGCAAATGTCTCCATGAGCCCTTGAATTCCACCTGTGTGTCCAGCGTGGCTCTGGAAACCCTCATGATGGTGATGCTCCTTTCTACCTTTGCCTCGCGTTGACCCATGTGGGTTTGTTGTTGGGTATTTTTTTGGCTTTTTTTGTTTTGTTTTGTTTTGTTTGTTTGGGTTTTTTTTAAGGTGTTCTGTAGTACAGCAATGCCACCCCTCCGGGCTGGGTGCCACTGTGTTTGTGCGGGGAGGAGGCGATGGCGGGGGACCCGTCGGGGCACACAAATAACCCATTTCCACTGCCGCACGTCCTGTGGGACTAAATCCAACCCTGCGCCGTTGTACGACGGCAGCTGGTGGGGCCGTGCGTGTCCTGCGGGTCGGTGTTGAGCTGAGCTGAGGCTGGGAAGCGGAGGTCGAGGTCTCGTCGTGATTCTGGTGGGGCTACCGGGGCTCGTCGGAATGTGAGGGTTGTGTCTCCATCGTGGGAAGGTGCGTGCCTGCATCCCCCCCTTCCCTCCCTGCTCCGAGCTGAAACTCGCCCTGACTGAAAGCAGCAGCCGTGGCTGTCAAACCTGGTTTTGCCGTGGTTACACACACGGTACCGCGGTGTTGATGGCGGCCGCAGTTTTGATGGTGGAAGTCGAAACGACTGAGTGTGGGTGGGTTGGGGTTTGGTATGTTGGTCGTCTAGGAAATCCTGGTGGCTACTGTAAAAGGTGCGGAGGCTAGAAATTTTTTTTTTTTAAAATGGAGTGGGTACTGCTTTTTCCCCTAAACGTGTGGGAGAACGCCCCTTTTATTCCATGTGCAAGCAGATCGTTTGCTTAGGCAGCAAGTCCTCTTCATTGCAGAATAATTTGTTGTCCTAATTCCTTCCTGTTGAAGCAACTCCATTTTGCATGGAATAATTAGTACTAATTTGGACCCGGAATGGAAAACAAGGGTTCTCCAACTTCAGAAGAGGAGACAAGAGCATAACCTCTGCCTCTCCTGCATGAGTCAGGGCGTTCTGTGCCATCCCTCCTCTAAAGCAAAAATAAAACCTGTACATGAGACCAAACATCCCAGGTTGGTAGCAGGCAGCGGGAGATGTACGTGTCACCAATTTTAAGCCTTTTGCTGTCGCAAGGAGCCGAGGACATCTGTGGTGAGGGGGAAGAGACCACCACCTCCTTCCTTCTTGGCTAACGCCGAGGAACAAATAAACAAAAATGTTCCCACCGCGCTGATGTGAAAAGCTGCTTCTGAGCCGGTCTGGCGTGTCGGTGTATTCCTGGCGCCCCGGCCAAGTACTTGAGACCTTTTTATTACCGTAACGAGGACTTCCACATCCTGCCCCCCCAGTCTAACTCAAGCCGTGGTTATTTTCTGGTCCTTCCGGGAAGACATCCCTGTTCTCCCTTCCTTTGCGTAGCGAAAGGGAAGCCAGCCAAATTCTTTCCCTCCCCCAAATCCCCGCGTGTTTGAAGGAGGGGAGGTGCAGCCATCTTTTTCCTGGCTTCGCCGGCGTTTACCTGGGAAGCGCGAGATGAATTACGGCGTGAAGGTGCTGCAGGCAGGATCGCCCCTGCCCGTCTCGCAGCCGCTGGTAGGTTCCTCCTTTCTGCTGGCCGGGGGGGGGTGGGTGAGCACCGAGGCCGTGTCCTCATTTTCCAGAGCGCTGCGTGAACGTCTCTTCAGGCTGAGCCCTGGAGGAGGTGGAAATGGGGGATGTCTGGCCTGGAAATCCCAGCTGGCAGGAGACACGCTGCGAGCGAGACGGGCTTCCCAGTGTCTGGATACCCGCCTGCCAGAAACCTTGGCTGGTGGATGCTACCTGCCTGCGGGGTTAGACAGGGAGTTTTAAGACCTGTCGTCATAACTTTGGG